TGAGCCGGCGCATCCAAATTAACAGATTCTTCCCGGTAGAGGATTCCCCCAACCTGGCCGACCACGACTTCCCAACGCCAGGTTACTACATCGTCCCCTGCGGCTACCTCCAGATGGTTACATCAGTCCGTCCATCTTCGCTGACCAAAGACGACCTTGGGCGAGACCACTATGAGTGAGTTGGCTATAAATTTCAGTTAATATTTAAAACGAAGGGAAAGTAATTATTAAATAAGAATAAAACGAAGAATAATATAATTAGAATTTCCTTCAAGTTGATAAATTTATTGTAATAAATCATTATAAAATCCATTCATATAATTTTCTTATTCTGGGGTGCAAAGTTCATTGTGCACATCGAAAAATATCAGAAAATGATGCCAAAATAGAATGGTTAAACCTGCTTTAGCACAGCACTAAAGGCGAAAAAACAAGGGACCGCGCCAGGCACATCAACAATATAGTCAATATATATATATATATATATTTTTTTCCACTTCTCAGGCTGCCCAAAAGATGGAAGGCCACAGTAGTAAACAGGAGTCCACAAAACCCGTGCCATGTGTCGACCCACGCCAATGACATCCTGAACCACCTGAAGGTCGAAGAAGAGGTAGCAAAGGGGCGTTCATTGCTTGTACTGATTGCAGATGGCGGCCCGGATTATAATGTTAACCATGTGGTTAACGAAATGTACTATGGCCGCCTCTTCAAACAGTGCAAGCTGGACGCCCTAATTGTAACCTCCTACTGTCCCGGCCACTCAGCACTTAACCCAGTGGAGCGGCTGTGGGCCCCGTGCACCCGGGCGTTGACGTCGACGTCGGTACCTGCAGCTCTCCCTGGGGAACTACCGCCAGCCCGGCAGACCGACCTCAACCCAGAAGAGAGATGGGAGAAAGACCAGGACGTCTTCAATACAGCCATGGACCGGGTGAAGCACTATTGGAAAGACCTGTCCTACGCTGGACATCCAGTCACCACTATATCAACCCCAAGCGGCTCAAGCGATGCTCCCTACGACGACTTCGAGCGCGTACACACTGCAGTATCATCATCTGCAACTAGGCTGAGGGAGGACAGGGCAGTGTTCGATGAATACAAGTTCGTCATCAGACACATGGATCGGCGCATTGGCATGGCGATTTTTGCTAAATGTGCCGATCCAGAGTGTCAACACTGCTCATCCAACCCCCCAGTTAACGATGATATGCTGCAGTGTGCGCGCACTTTCCCCACGCCAATTCCCTCAAGGGACCACCCAGGCCATTTCCTAACATTCATAGAGGCCCTCCAGCGCCGTCGAGATCCCCCATGTCAGCACATGCCACTTTTTCAGCAAAAGTCATTTGGACGCTGCATGGTGGAGGGGTGCAAGTATGTCTTCACCAGTAAATCAGACGTGGCTGATCACCGGAAAAAGGCTCACCGATAAACTAACTAATTATCATAGCGCTGATGTCAAGTATATTGCTTCACTTCAAATCTGTTAAAGTCTGTATACGGTTTGATCATATATTTTTTTAGTGCAATATCTACCGTTATCATTGACACTGTATGCCTACATGTACATTGTGCATAAAATCAATTAACTATCTCAGTTCCACCTATCGCCAATCCAGTCGACAATATGCCTATGTACTGATGATGTCACACTGTAACATTTGCACTTTCCTATGGAGCCAGTATACACTTATTTTAAATATATTTTGTGCAAATAATTATGGCCGTCAATAATCCTCGCCATGCATCACTGGGTCTGTAATTCAAATGAGAGTTAGACAAAAGAATTTATAAACGGAATATTTTTTTTTGAGAAAAAGCAGATAATTGTCTTGTAGGCCTATTGTTATTGAAAATAAAGCAGACTTTATGTTTACTGAAGAACATGTGTCACGGTATCCTTGTATTTAATAAGATAGCAACCCCGATGTAAATTGATTTTTTTGGGGGGGGGGGGCGGGGTGTCATCAAAATGAAAATTAGAAAAGTCTATTACGCCAAAAAAAAATGTAAGGCTGAAAATTTAAAATTAACAAAAAACATGACCTTTTAAGGGAATTGCGATATTATCTTTCAGATGCATTTATAATAAGCTAAGGGATGTAGTTTAATATGTACGTACGTAGGGCCTTCCTTGTTGCTCGAGAGTTGAGAAGTTTTCTATGCCGCCATCATGCAATATTGTCGAATAGCACGCAATAGCAGTGAAAACTCTGCAAAATATGAGCTAAATCTATGTCTGATGATTCAAAGATATTGTTTTACTCCTGTTTGTACGAAAATATGCACCGGTTCTCGTACAAAAATCAATTTCGACGGAACAATTGCCATGGGCTGCGTACAAAACTTGCTGCACGTGCGTAAAGGGAATTCCCCTTGGTGAGAAATGGCCTGTGTAATACAAAGGAACCAAGGGCACCAGCGTTCTGGTGCCTTTTGAACACGCTGGTATCCGACAGTAGCGTACATTCCGTGTATTGGGCAATCACATTGTGAGTGCGTGCGGCGTGTGTACTGGTCAATCTTCGTCTGCACTGCAGGTTGGCCTTGTCTAGTCTAGACCCGTGAATGTGGCGGTATACACTGCAACGCGTACATCGTATTGAACAGCTTTCGATCGGCAAACTTCGGCGGGAATAGAATTTTCGTTTGAGTCCGGAAATTTAACAAGCACTTTTATGACCAATACACGCACAAAACCTTATTCGCGAACTTTGAGTTGCGTAGGATCTGTCATTCCAAAGAAATTTCGAGTCTCAAACGGAAATTCTATTCCCGGCGATGCTGGCCGATCGAAAGCTGTTCAATGAGATGTACGCGTGGCGGTGGATACCGCCACGTTCACGGGTCTATAGGCCTTGTCATGTTGACAGTTTGAGAAGTTCGTATCGTTTATGTTTCCACCGCGAATCGAGCCCAGAAATCAGTACGATGTGCATTGGTCGGTTCATATTAAATCGTACCGTGTAAAATGAATTTGAAATGAAGCTCTTTGAAATCGTGTCATCGATTGAAAAATCGTTATCCATATACTTTCATAATCGATTTTCACCATCCCAGTAGTTTTGTGCGGATGATCTAATTTCCTTGCCCGACTTTATATTTATATCCCATTTTAAACCGTCCCCGTTTAGTCTGACTGCGGAAAGTATTCATTGAGAGGTTTCCCGGTTGATACCCAGTTTAATACATAGGCCCAGGCCTTGAATTTGGGAATTTTTAGGGCAAGGCCACTTTGGCCTTGAATGGAGCAAAATTATAGAGGGCACCACGGCCAGTCGGGAGGGCACCAAGGCCAAACTAATATCTGCAGAAGGGGCACAGAGGCCGGCTAAAAGAAATGCGCATTTATATTAGCGATCATGTAGTTTAGGGCCCCCCTTTAGTTTTGATCAAATTTGAGCCAAAGGTGTTTTTATCATTCAAAAAGTACCTTTTTAACCTAAAGCAGACTTCTCTCAGCTTATATTGCACCTGTTTTGTAATTTTGAACACTTTTTGGGGATAGAAATTACGTTTTTTAAAGCAGTTTTATGGTTGGTGACGTGCGATCGCCATCTCTATTTTCGTGTTGCGTGTTTTCGTTGTCGTTTTCCCTCCAAATTCCCCTCAAAATTCGAAACCCTTCCCTCTATCTATAACCTACCTGCATGCTCTTAAAGTGGATTAAAAGTTGATTTTGTTCTCTTACGGGAATCGGGCCCATAATTAATACACGATCGCCATTTACAATGTCCGCTTTTGACAATCGGAATTCGGAACGCCATGTGCACGCGTGTTTTGACTATGCCCCAAGCTCGTTTGCCTCGTACACGAACATCAATGCGTTCTGTACCGCGCATGCAAGCGCAAGCACTGGGAAAAAGAAAGTCGGTTGACTGCACGTAAGATCTGCCGTACGTACTCCTGCTGGTATGTGTGTGTACGAATACTGACATATATTTTTGCGGCGGGGGTGTCGCTACTTGAAGTATCGGCACATACAGGAACTGGAGATTCAGTTGTCAGTGTACATACAGAACGTACGTGTGTGTACATGTACATCGTACAGTGGGGAATCGCCGGCGTTTGGCCGGCCGGCCACGGCCGTACTGCGCGCGTGATTGATTCAGCGAGATATTAAGACAACTGATTGGGCTGGCATGGCATCGAAATACATTGTCAATTTGTGGAAAAACAACTGGAATCAAGGATTGTAGTGGTTTTAATAGGCTGATGCATGTTTTTGCAAAAAGGGCACGGCGGCCAAGGTAATTATGGGGCAAGGCAAAACTGGCCGTGAAGACAGGGATTTTTTGTGGGGTACCTCGGCCAGTAAGAAGGCAACGACGGCACTGGCCGTCGTGGCCGTCGTTCAATTCAAGCCCTGTAGGCCTACGGCACCGTATTAAATTCCACCCTGGGAATTGGAACATAATCAAAATATATTTCTACCGAGAAAGAAAATAACGTTACAGCCTTCCTCCAAAAGTGATACAATGTATATCTTTGGTGATAAGAGATTGTCTGTGGAAGTTCTACTAGAAGCTGGCAAAATAATCCTGGCAACTATTGTGTCGGTGTATTTAAACTGCACCTTGCAAGACGGTGATTTGTTTGCATCATACAGCAAGAAATCAGTGTCGGCGCGCTGCGGCGGGCTGTGTGTATTAAGTGCGTTCAGCCGTGTCACCTATTGTTATTCATGTTTTCCACCTGCGCCGCACGGCGCCGTGCTATCGGCAGGCCGAGAGAAGCTGGAGTGCGGGCCAGCGCGGCGCAGTGGGAGCAGTGAAGCGGATCGCGGCGCGCCGAGTAATTTCTTATGGACGCTCAGCCTTAGTTGTTCAGCACCCGTCTTTAGATTTTTAACACTTTTGTTGCTTCAAACGAACAAAATGCACAAATTACAAATGATGGACTATACCTTTAATCATTGTATATGCATTTTACAGAATGGACACGTGGCCATTCCCAACCAATGAAATGACAGTATCCAAGCACACGATATAACAAACCTGTTTGTTGAGCCTGTAGTCTGCCATTAGATGGATGTACTCAATACGATTGGTGGCAGTAACTGGAATATCCTGGCCCCCTGCCTTTAGCACATTAACACGTGTTGCTCCATAGTCATTATCAACAACTGTGAAGTCAAGGTTGAGATCAGCAACATCACCAGTGTAGTCTTTCAGAGATAGTAAATTCCTGCAGTAAGAAAACAATACAAAATGGTAGAATGAAATCCTTCAGACTGAGGAGAGTATGGAAGATGAAAGAAAAAAACAGAAATGAGATAATAGGTTTCCACATAGATGAAAGAACAGAAAATGGTAAATCCAACCCAAAAAACTTTGAAAGAAAATTTTTAAAAACCCAGCTAGAGGTAACGGTTGTAGTGTGACAAACAGTAGTCATCTTGAAAAAATGTCCATATTGGCTAACTGCTAAATGTCTAGATAACACTGGCAAACATTAAGATGAGACTTACTTGTAGACCTCAGGGTCCAAGGATGCTAACTGATCAATGTCCACATCAGCATGCTTGCTCAAGAGTTTGGTCAGAAAGAAACTGGCAAAGGGAAGCTCAACCAAAAGATTCTCATACAAAACCTGCAACAAGGTAGGCATGGGACAGGAGGCAATATAAAGTGTTTCACTCTTTCTAAACAATGAAAACAACATCAGATTTACAATTATATATAAGTGAGTTGTTTTTGGTCTCTATTTGTAAGTATTCAATTCCAGTCAAAAGTGAGGTTTTGTTGTAAAGTTTTCCATTTGTACAAATTTGTTTACATATGACACACACAAAAAAAGAGAAAAATGCACCAGTGACTTGTAGGCCAAAATATCTTACTGGAAAGGGGGAGGATTATACCGGGAAGGAGCACTTGATAACAAATTTGACCAAAGAAACAAACTAGAGCAAAAAAAGAGAAGGCAAACTATAATGTAAGGTAAAAAGTACAAACACTCATGAAAAAAGAAAAGAAATCTGAATCATTTAGTCATGAGCATTGTGGTACTCAAGCAATAAATATGCAAACTTGCTGTAGTTGAGTGTGCTCCAACAACATTTTCCATTACACATGCACACATATATGAGTCATGTTCTTCAGTTGCTTTCTACGAAGTATGATTAGGCAGGGATCAGACACGTGAACTTTACACTTGTTTAGTACAATGTCACTGTGCCACTGAGTTTCCTTATGTGAATTGCTATGTAGCACCATTTGCAGTTTTTGTCTCCAGCCCATTGAGTTCAATGCACTGTTGCTCCTAATGTCTAACCTTGCCCAGCATTCTTCCCAGGAAGTAGTAGTGTTTCCGGTAGTCAGGTTCCAGCTGGGATGCCTGGGGATTAGGATACAGTAGCTCATCTGTGGATGTCTTGAAAAAGCCTCGATTGGGATCAAATCCAGTCTTAAGAAGCTCTGAGAGGAACTCTCTTGTCAGCCCTCCGCCGTCGATTCCAGCTTCCTCAAGACCCCGGACATTTCTCATGACAACACGCAGCTTCTTCTTCAAACTCGGCTCTGTAAATAAAACAATAAATTACTACACGTTGCCACGTAACACATATACTGATACAGATGCCTGGATCTTCAGCCATCCATTGGCCAATGATTTATAGCAAATTTCAAAGAGAGCAAAAAAGTAGGAACATTTATTTTTAAATAGAAAATATATTTTCCTACTATGAATAGTTATGGTTCATATATTTACTTCCTGATAAGTGATTCATTTTGCCTTTCGATGTTTGAGGCTTGGAAAACAATTCTCTGAAATACAAAGATAAAGCACACTTCAACATTACCCAGATATATTTTATTCCAAATTGCTAAAAGTAACTGCAAATTTCTGAGGAAACGTACCATTTTCTGGCCGTAACCTATCATAGGCATCCTCATAAATAAAATCTCGTCGGACGTTGATATCTATTGTACGTCCAGGAGTGAAAATAGCAAACTCCCCCTGATGCTCCTCCTTGTCACGGTGAATCCAGTCCCGGAAAATCTGAAAGACATAAGATTTACAGATTATTGGGCTCATATTTCATTACATTTTAGTAGACTCATTGCCTGAACCATAGTCATTGAAAAATACTGATTTGTACTCCCAAACCCCTCCAAATGTACTAAGATTCTCGAAAAGTACATCTCCTGCCTTCTCACTAACAGTTGAAAATTGTTTTGTAATATTCTGAAATCCAAATTGGGCGCCCCACTCTTTGGATACAGATGTAAGTCATGGCTTTTGCAAAAAAAATATACTGTGGTGGGAAAAATGTTGGGAGTATGTTTCATGGTTTTAACAGAGTTACTGGAGGGACGTAGGCATACCTTGACTCTGTCTTCAAATGGGATAACAAATGGCATCTCAGCCAGAATAGTCATCTTGCGAATCTCATGTGTGGACATTGGAGGTGGTCCTTCCTCTACTGCCATAGTGGATGGCAGGATATGCAGACGTTGGGGCCTCAGCGATGGATGGACATAACGACCTCCTGATCCTTTGACCTGGAAATCAATCCCACAGATAATATTCAGTACATAAATCACGCATGCAACTGGGAATTTAGAAAAAAAGAAAAGAAAGGAAATTAGCGGATCCGAGGAAAAGTAGCACGTCAAATAAATGGAAGAGGTTAGTAATAAGTAGGTACTGGTTTCACAGCATTTCCCCCGGAAAGTCTGAAGTCCCCCCAAATTTTGCTCTACTGAAAAGCCTGATACCAATTGAAACCAGTTTAAACTGTGTGGGCACACCCTGGGTAAAGAAACGGAATAAATAAATAAATAAATAGCACACAGTATAACTGGACTGACCTTGTTATCAGTGAAGATACTGACATGGGATGCTAGCCAATGACCTGGGGGGCAGAATGACCTCCTCATATCTCTGTCATGGAGTTGCTTCACCAAATGAGCTGTCACCTATGTGTATTGTTGATTTGATGGAAAGAAAAACCTTGCTAACATGTAACTGTTCAGCTAACATTTCCATATACCCATAAACTTCTTTTTATGAAGAACAATTGGTACTTATGATGACATTGTATTTGTTTTGAAGGAGAGTAGTTGACCTTTGCCATAAACCACCCATAACTTCTTTTGTAGAATGAGTAAGGCCACCTCTCAAATAAGAGAACTTGCTTCACAAAATCTTGATCTCTCTTGGAACAATATGATGACCATCAAGGTCAAGACCACAGCAATGGAGGTTAAACCTTCTGTTGGACCTCCAGGGTTGGGCAATTTGAATAAATAAATCAATATATTGGGGGGGGGGGGGTAATCGTCCTTCGTCGCAGCAGTAGCTGCGAAGGACGTAGTTACAATGTGGTTGAGCTGAAGACATGTCAAGGCGCCTTAGGCAGCTGCCATACTACCCCTATCTTTCCATGGAGCGCAGCAAGATTGAAAGTGGTTGTTTTTTTGCGGAAGGAGGAAAACCGGAAACCCAGAGAAAAACCCTAGTGGCGCAAGAGAGAATCAACGAACAACCCTTCTCACATATGACCTGAAACGGGAATCAACCCCAGGCCACATGGGTGTGAGGTGAGCGCTTTATTTGCGATCTGTTTTACCACAAATCAGTCATAAGAACAAATTCTACCTTAAAAACATGCATCCACAAAGCTGTTTCTTCTGTTGAGTCATCATGTGATATGACCCCCATGCTTGCCATAGCATGCCTGTAGTCCTTGGTGACACTGGGTCTGCTTTCTGGATGTGCAGACTCTATCATGCCTAGACAGGCATTGCGTAGTATCAGGCTCATATGAACAAGCTCATCTAGTTGGAATGGCATTAGGCTCCGATGAGATTCCCCTGATACAACAGAAAAGAAGAGACAGGTCAATACTTTTAGTCCATGTAGATTATAGCTCTGACATCCAATAATTTGGTTTAATTCTAAAAAAAACCCCTTATTTTGTTAAACTTGTCACAACTGTGCAACCTTTTTATTTTTCTAAGTATTTTACCTTTTATTCATAAATACCTAAGACAGTTTACCCTTTCCTATTGGTCAAGGGCCTGTCACGTGGGTAATTTTAAACGGTTGATAAAACACTGGCTGGCTGGTTTTAAACACTTCAGTGTTTCATTAAATTTTGACTCCTATGAAAACTATTATTGGTTGAATGCTCACAATCCTCACTTAGACATGCACAATACTACCAAAGAGTCCATTATTTCATAGTCCTGAATACACGCTACACTGGCACCACAGCATTGTGCGCCACATCATGCAGTACGCGCCACGCGCACACCAAGCTCTATATAAGGGGATGTTTACTACTACTCGCGAGAGGTACAAACCATAACATAGCTAGAGGGGTGTTCAATAAAACATGTAGTAAAACTGTAGAACAAAATCGTTGGAAATGTATAGTTTTTGACTTATTTTGACTTTTTGACCGAAAAGTATTTATTAATGGGAATAAATATGTGCTTGGCCTGTATTAAACAAGTCTGTTTAAGATCGGCTTTTGGGGCCTGGTCCCCGACAATATCAGCGTCCAGCCCCCAAGCCGGTCTGTAACGGACTTGTGTACATCCAGCCAAGCACATACTTATTCCCTTATTAAAGTTTTGCCTAGATGGGTCTGTATGTCCACACGTTGGACAATTCTTCCATTTATCCGCCTTATTCCTGCCTAATCCAGCAAGGTTTAACAGTAGGTAATTTTTCTTGACTGTGTTAATCTGTACAGTCAATTAAAGACTTTTTTCTTCAAGCTGTTGGATTCGCAAAGCCTCCAGGCTCAATGCATAATTTTTCCAGCAGGGATGAATGTGTGAAAATCGACTACTGGCTGAAAGTATGTTGCATTACACCATTACCTTCTAGCATCAATGACCAAGGAGCATTCCTCTCATCTGAATACACTACTCATTTATGAATATTTAGTTAAATTCAGTAAATCACCGCTATAACGAACACCGCTATAACGAACACTTGGCTATACAAACATCCCCTTTGGTTCCCAAAATATTAAATTCTATTGCACGATTACTAAATGAACGACCATTATAATGAACATTTTTTATGGAACCCATCGTGTTCATTATAAAAGTGTTCTAATGTATTAGCTGTGTTCCATTCCAATGCAGGGCAAGAGTTTGATGAAGATGCACAGTGCATAGACACACATACCTCTCATACTTATGTTATTGAACACGGCTCATGGCAGGCTACTTATAAAGGCTAGTGGGTTAGACTTCTACTCTACTGATTGGGGGAAGGTATCCTAAGTTTTAGGGGTAGATGTCAAAGGCATCAATCATTACCTCTATTATCCCCATGGAATTCAGCATCGTGAAGAGACAGGAGCAAGTGACCAAAGAGTGAAGAGAAGACAGAAAGTAGTGGGATAATCCTGCTGCCATCAGCTGGTGAGAGAGGGTAGCCACTGGACAACATTTGGATGAGAGGTGTGTGGGACCTGCAAGGGAAAAAGGAATCCAACGCTAATCAACCACTATCACTCATCTGGCATTACATCCACCGCAAGGAATCCAACGCAAATCAACCACTATCACTCATCTGGCATTCAATCCACCGCAAGGAATCCAACGCTAATCAACCACTATCACTCATCTGGCATTCAATCCACCGCAAGGAATCCAACGCTAATCAACCACTATCACTCATCTGGCATTCAATCCACCGCAAGGAATCCAACGCTAATCAACCACTATCACTCATCTGGCATTCAATCCACCGCAAGGAATCCAACGCTAATCAACCACTATCACTCATCTGGCATTCAATCCACCGCAAGGAATCCAACGCTAATCAACCACTATCACTCATCTGGCATTCAATCCACAGCAAGGAATCCAACGCTAATCAACCACTATCACTCATCTGGCATTCAATCCACTGCAAGGAATCCAACGCTAATCAACCACTATCACTCATCTGGCATTCAATCCACTGCAAGGAATCCAACGCTAATCAACCACTATCACTCATCTGGCATTCAATCCACCGCAAGGAATCCAACGCTAATCAACCACTATCACTCATTTGGCATTCAATCCACCGCAAGGAATCCAACGCTAATCAACCACTATCACTCATCTGGCATTCAATCCACCGCAAGGAATCAACGCTAATCAACCACTATCACTCATCTGGCATTCAATCCACCGCAAGGAATCCAACGCTAATCAACCACTATCACTCATCTGGCATTACATCCACCGCAAGGAATCCAACGCAAATCAACCACTATCACTCATCTGGCATTCAATCCATCGCAAGGAATCAACGCTAATCAACCACTATCACTCATCTGGCATTCAATCCACCGCAAGGAATCCAACGCCAATCAACCACTATCACTCATCTGGCATTCAATCCACCGCAAGGAATCCAACGCTAATCAACCACTATCACTCATCTGGCATTCAATCCGCCGCAAGGAATCCAACGCTAATCAACCACTATCACTCATCTGGCATTCAATCCACCGCAAGGAATCCAACGCTAATCAACCACTATCACTCATCTGGCATTCAATCCACCGCAAGGAATCCAACGCTAATCAACCACTATCACTCATCTGGCATTACATCCACCGCAAGGAATCCAACGCCAATCAACCACTATCACTCATTTGGCATTCAATCCACCGCAAGGAATCCAACGCCAATCAACCACTATCACTCATTTGGCATTCAATCCACCGCAAGGAATCCAACGCAAATCAACCACTATCACTCATGTGGCATTCAATCCACCGCAAGGAATCAACGCTAATCAACCACTATCACTCATCTGGCATTCAATCCACCGCAAGGAATCCAACGCCAATTAACCACTATCACTCATCTGGCATTCAATCCACCGCAAGGAATCCAACGCTAATCAACCACTATCACTCATCTGGCATTCAATCCGCCGCAAGGAATCCAACGCTAATCAACCACTATCACTCATCTGGCATTCAATCCACCGCAAGGAATCCAACGCAAATCAACCACTATCACTCATCTGGCATTCAATCCACCGCAAGGAATCCAACGCTAATCAACCACTATCACTCTTCTGGCATTCAATCCACCGCAAGGAATCCAACGCTAATCAACCACTATCACTCATCTGGCATTCAATCCACCGCAAGGAATCCAACGCAAATCAACCACTATCACTCATCTGGCATTACATCCACCGCAAGGAATCCAACGCTAATCAACCACTATCACTCATCTGGCATTCAATCCACCGCAAGGAATCCAACGCTAATCAACCACTATCACTCATTTGGCATTCAATCCACCGCAAGGAATCCAACGCTAATCAACCACTATCACTCATCTGGCATTCAATCCACCGCAAGGAATCAACGCTAATCAACCACTATCACTCATCTGGCATTCAATCCACCGCAAGGAATCCAACGCTAATCAACCACTATCACTCATCTGGCATTCAATCCACCGCAAGGAATCCAACGCTAATCAACCACTATCACTCATTTGGCATTCAATCCACCGCAAGGAATCCAACGCCAATTAACCACTATCACTCATCTGGCATTCAATCCACCGCAAGGAATCCAACGCCAATCAACCACTATCACTCATCTGGCATTCAATCCACCGCAAGGAATCCAACGCCAATCAACCACTATCACTCATTTGGCATTCAATCCACCGCAAGGAATCCAACGCCAATCAACCACTATCACTCATCTGGCATTCAATCCACCGCAAGGAATCCAACGCCAATCAACCACTATCACTCATCTGGCATTCAATCAACCGCAAGGAATCCAACGCTAATCAACCACTATCACTCATCTGGCATTCAATCCACTGCAAGGAATCCAACGCTAATCAACCACTATCACTCATCTGGCATTCAATCCACCGCAAGGAATCCAACGCTAATCAACCACTATCACTCATTTGGCATTCAATCCACCGCAAGGAATCCAACGCTAATCAACCACTATCACTCATCTGGCATTCAATCCACCGCAAGGAATCAACGCTAATCAACCACTATCACTCATCTGGCATTCAATCCACCGCAAGGAATCCAACGCTAATCAACCACTATCACTCATCTGGCATTACATCCACCGCAAGGAATCCAACGCAAATCAACCACTATCACTCATCTGGCATTCAATCCATCGCAAGGAATCAACGCTAATCAACCACTATCACTCATCTGGCATTCAATCCACCGCAAGGAATCCAACGCCAATCAACCACTATCACTCATCTGGCATTCAATCCACCGCAAGGAATCCAACGCTAATCAACCACTATCACTCATCTGGCATTCAATCCGCCGCAAGGAATCCAACGCTAATCAACCACTATCACTCATCTGGCATTCAATCCACCGCAAGGAATCCAACGCTAATCAACCACTATCACTCATCTGGCATTCAATCCACCGCAAGGAATCCAACGCTAATCAACCACTATCACTCATCTGGCATTACATCCACCGCAAGGAATCCAACGCCAATCAACCACTATCACTCATTTGGCATTCAATCCACCGCAAGGAATCCAACGCCAATCAACCACTATCACTCATTTGGCATTCAATCCACCGCAAGGAATCCAACGCAAATCAACCACTATCACTCATGTGGCATTCAATCCACCGCAAGGAATCAACGCTAATCAACCACTATCACTCATCTGGCATTCAATCCACCGCAAGGAATCCAACGCCAATTAACCACTATCACTCATCTGGCATTCAATCCACCGCAAGGAATCCAACGCTAATCAACCACTATCACTCATCTGGCATTCAATCCGCCGCAAGGAATCCAACGCTAATCAACCACTATCACTCATCTGGCATTCAATCCACCGCAAGGAATCCAACGCAAATCAACCACTATCACTCATCTGGCATTCAATCCACCGCAAGGAATCCAACGCTAATCAACCACTATCACTCTTCTGGCATTCAATCCACCGCAAGGAATCCAACGCTAATCAACCACTATCACTCATCTGGCATTCAATCCACCGCAAGGAATCCAACGCAAATCAACCACTATCACTCATCTGGCATTACATCCACCGCAAGGAATCCAACGCTAATCAACCACTATCACTCATCTGGCATTCAATCCACCGCAAGGAATCCAACGCTAATCAACCACTATCACTCATTTGGCATTCAATCCACCGCAAGGAATCCAACGCTAATCAACCACTATCACTCATCTGGCATTCAATCCACCGCAAGGAATCAACGCTAATCAACCACTATCACTCATCTGGCATTCAATCCACCGCAAGGAATCCAACGCTAATCAACCACTATCACTCATCTGGCATTCAATCCACCGCAAGGAATCCAACGCTAATCAACCACTATCACTCATTTGGCATTCAATCCACCGCAAGGAATCCAACGCCAATTAACCACTATCACTCATCTGGCATTCAATCCACCGCAAGGAATCCAACGCCAATCAACCACTATCACTCATCTGGCATTCAATCCACCGCAAGGAATCCAACGCCAATCAACCACTATCACTCATTTGGCATTCAATCCACCGCAAGGAATCCAACGCCAATCAACCACTATCACTCATTTGGCATTCAATCCACCGCAAGGAATCCAACGCAAATCAACCACTATCACTCATCTGGCATTCAATCCACCGCAAGGAATCAACGCTAATCAACCACTATCACTCATCTGGCATTCAATCCACCGCAAGGAATCCAACGCTAATCAACCACTATCACTCATCTGGCATTCAATCCACCGCAAGGAATCCAACGCCAATCAACCACTATCACTCATCTGGCATTCAATCCACCGCAAGGAATCCAACGCTAATCAACCACTATCACTCATCTGGCATTCAATCCGCCGCAAGGAATCCAACGCTAATCAACCACTATCACTCATCTGGCATTCAATCCACCGCAAGGAATCCAACGCTAATCAACCACTATCACTCATCTGGCATTCAATCCACCGCAAGGAATCCAACGCAAATCAACCACTATCACTCATCTGGCATTCAATCCACCGCAAGGAATCCAACGCAAATCAACCACTATCACTCATCTGGCATTCAATCCACTGCAAGGAATCCAACGCAAATCAACCACTATCACTCATCTGGCATTCAATCCACCGCAAGGAATCCAACGCAAATCAACCACTATCACTCATCTGGCATTCAATCCACCGCAAGGAATCAACGCTAATCAACCACTATCACTCATCTGGCATTCAATCCACCGCAAGGAATCCAACGCTAATCAACCACTATCACTCATCTGGCATTCAATCCACCGCAAGGAATCCAACGCCAATCAACCACTATCACTCATCTGGCATTCAATCCACCGCAAGGAATCCAACGCTAATCAACCACTATCACTCATCTGGCATTCAATCCGCCGCAAGGAATCCAACGCAAATCAACCACTATCCCTCATCTGGCATTCAATCCACCGCAAGGAATCCAACGCTAATCAACCACTATCACTCATCTGGCATTCAATCCACCGCAAGGAATCCAACGCAAATCAACCACTATCACTCATCTGGCATTCAATCCACCGCAAGGAATCCAACGCAAATCAACCACTATCACTCATCTGGCATTCAATCCACTGCAAGGAATCCAACGCAAATCAACCACTATCACTCATCTGGCATTCAATCCACCGCAAGGAATCCAACGCTAATCAACCACTATCACTCATCTGGCATTCAATCCACCGCAAGGAATCCAGTGCTAATCAACCACTATCACTCATCTGGCATTCAATCCACCGCAAGGAATCCAACGCTAATCAACCACTATCACTCATCTGGCATTCAATCCACCGCAAGGAATCCAACGCTAATCAACCACTATCACTCATCTGGCATTCAATCCACCGCAAGGAATCCAACGCAAATCAACCACTATCACTCATCTGGCATTCAATCCACCGCAAGGAATCCAACGCTAATCAACCACTATCACTCATCTGGCATTCAATCCACCGCAAGGAATCCAACGCTAATCAACCAATATCACTCATCTGGCATTACATCCACCGCAATCAATTTGGTTTTCTCAAGGGCTCATAGAAAGCACTTCAGACCAGAATATACATTAAGCATCATAGTGATGGGCAAACCCTTGTGTTACAAATGAACATCATCATGGCAAAAATTGTACAAAGAAAATTCCATGGCAAAGAGGATATGACCTCATATTTTCACTTTGATTCAAGGACAAATGACATTGGTGTTAATACTGCCTTAGGTACATCTGCAGGGACATGACGTAATGCAAGTTACTGTGACAAGAAATGTATTCCTCTAAACATTTCATCGTTTGTTATTTTTGTATAATCATGACTGTAACATATGACTGACAGCCTAATGGTGGAAGGGAATTGCAAAGTTTCGTAAGTTTCGTAGGAAATTTCAAGCACAATGTACATGTATATACATTTTTGCCATGTCTAATTTTTAAAAGTAACAAAAACCAAATACCTATTGCCAAATCAATAGAAATTTTACATTGTCTTCCTCTTTTAACTGGTTAAGCCATGTCACTTAAAGCAATCTCCAGTGATAACAATCTACACTCAATAAAATGATTGTATAACAGCATAGAGATGAAGACAGGCCCCATTAAATGTAATGTGAGAATCCATGTCACATAATCCAATATATGAAGACAATGCAATTGGAATTTAAACATCCTTAGGAGTACAGTCTGTGATAAGATGGTCTGCATATTGATGCTTACCCAGTAAGTCCTGTTGCTGACACTGACTTGATTGCTTCCCACAGATGTCTCAGGAATCGCTCATTGAATGCTAGTAAATATAATAACCTGTGACACAGAGAGAGACAAAAGAGATTGCATAACATGCACAGACTCATACAATGCCCACGATAGTTGGTGACTATGACAGCAATAATGAACTGAGGGCTGGTCTCTGCTTCTAACAAATTATTACATTAAAAAAAATAGTATTAATTAACGGTTTAATAAAGAAAGTAGGATAAAGTGGGATTGAAAGCTAACTGGAACCACTGGAATGTGTAAACAGTGTTCTACCTACATGTACTGAGCAACACAAGCTTCACAGTTTAGAATTACAAATTACGAGTAGGATCTTATAGGAATCACTACAGTACACCAATGACACCTATTTTGGAACTACACGTACATGTAGCCACGCACTGAATATTGACTCCTTCATTGTGAAACAAAGTTAAGAATTGTCACATGTGAACTCTGTCTCTATACATGAGAGTGACCTTTACGCTGCACATGTGCTTCCAAGTTGTCAATGGTATTGAATGGATGCAATTAAAACTCAAGAATTAGCAGACTTAAGGATAAGGATATATATTTAATTCTAAGAAGACCAATTCACAAAGTTCTTACGGTGTTCTTGGGACATGCATGCTGTGTTTGACCATGAGCGTGTGGCAGATACTGCACAGGGCTGTCAGGACAGAGATGTCACTCTGAGAGACCACAGCAAGGAGATTTTGGGCATACGTAGACATGCTTAATATCTGAAGACACTCATCTCGGATCTCCATCAAAGAGGATGCTCCTCTAAACTGTTCAGACAAATTATTGAAGAACACACTGTAAAATATTGCCTGAAGTACAAGTAAAATAATGTTTGACTCACATTTTTTTTGGGGGGGGGGGGGGTAGCCTATAGGTTTTAAGAGTATGTACAACAAATTCAATACTTTAACGGCCTTCCCCACTCACCTTTCCTGTAAATCACAAAAGACAAATTACATGTATACATTTGGTGTGCTTTGCTACAAACAGTTCTTATCAATGCAAATGTAAACAGTTCACGTCTCACCAGCATACATCACACTACACCAACTGTTCAATGTACACTGATACCAAAAACCTCCATCTATTTTTCATGTGAAATAGTACAGCAGATTCAGGGGCCGATCAAGAATTTTGTTGCAGGGGGGGGGGGGGGGGGAGGTTTCATCGGCCAAAAATCTGAAATGTATACAGGGTTTTCCCCCAGACACTTGGCCGGGGGGGGGGGGGGGGGGGGGGGGGGGGGCCTGGACCATACTTTAAATGGGGGCGCTGTTCAAATCCGTCAATTTTTAACACTAGATCACAGAACAGTGTACATATTCCCAACCAAGCTGGTTCTGTCAGTATTTTGTGCAAAGGCAGACATTATTACCGGGGGGGGGGGGGGGTGCATTTTTTTCATGAATTTCTAATTCTATGGAAATCTTTTTTTTTGGAAAGAGCAGGGTTTTTTTTTAACCTCCCCCCACCCGATCCGCGCCTGAAATTGGTGATAAGATTGTTCAGTTTGATGATAAAGGCATGACATTTGGCACAAAGTCAGAGTATGTCATGGGAAAGATATTTGGCTGTAGTGCCAGAGCAGATTTGTCCTTTGGAAAAAATATCATAGAATAAAACAAAAATTTCAATATGTCGGCCACTGCATGTTATTCTATGATATTCTTTTCAAAGGACAAATCTGCGATGGCCCTTTAGCCAAATATCACACTATGATATTTGGCTATGATATATCACATTACTGATCACCAGTCACACTTAATGAGCTCCCTTCACCATTGGAATCCCTTCAGTCTCCTGAGGACATGCAGAGTATGCTATCCTCACCAACTCATAAGAGATTTGTCACACGGTGCAAGAGTAAATCTTTATCTTAAGTGCTTCCTTCACCATGCAAACCTTCAAATCTTATCAAAACCAAAAAAACAGAGAGTAATCAATATATAGCTTACTTCAGGGTCACTTGTTTCCATTTCTTCTTCAAGGTCGTGGTCTGAATCATCATCATTGTTACTTGCACTTGGTAGGGTAGGAAGTAACAGCTTGATCAGGTACAGATATCTCAAGATGTCTTCACTATCAAGAGATGCTATACAAACAACCAGGAGAGATATCATTCAATCATTAAAACAGGCTGCAAAGTATGTACAAACCAAATTTCTTTTTCATTTACAATCATTTGGGCTACGTGTATAAAGCCACCTAGGATCATTTGTAATTAATCAGAAAAGTTCCTACTGATTTCTTGACAGAAACCTTGCTCAAAGTGAAGATAGGGCGGGTATTCAAATCCCTTGAAATCATTCCAGCTGAATGGCACCATTTGGATGAAAACTAAACATTGAAGGTGGTTTCAAAATAGGGTGCTCAAGGACACATTATTTTTTTCACATTGCATTAGCAATGGAGTCCAGTTACGAGACCAAAACAATTGTGCACACATATGCTGTTATCTAAAAATGTAAGCCGGGTTGTTTTTAAATTACTTGATTTGTGGATTTTTCAGTCAGGTCGGGTGGGTAAGTGGCGAAAAAAAACCCACTACCCCCCATAATGGTGCACCCAGTATTCGGACACACAAGTGTTCAAACAAAATGTCGTCATTCAATTTTTGCACAAAAATTATCAAATTTTGCCAGGGTAAAATTATCGAAAAAAATGTATACAGGGTGAGTAAAAAAAAGCGGAACCCAAACCCCAAACAATATATTTCATATTTAAAAAAATATGTAGCACCAAAAATAATAATGACTGGAAAGCCAATTTCATAAGCTACTTTTAGATGGAAAAATTACTGAAATTGGTCAATCCGTTCAAAGAATATCACCATTTAAACCTAATGACCCCAACACCTGTCTCGTCCAAAAAATGCGATTTCAACAATCGTCATCACAATTGTCTTCAAACATCACCAGCGATGAAATCTTAGTTTAAAAGTTAAGAATATGCAACAAAGTCCTATTAAAGGCCCATCTTTTCAAAAAGTAGATTTTATACGTCATATTGTTTGCCTTACCAGGGTTGTTAATCAAAATATTGTGTACTACAGTTTGTGACAGTTGTTGAAACAAGTATTCTGTGTCATTTTCTTTGCTGTTCCAAACAGTCAAAACACACAATAAATTGCTTTTTTTGGACGAGACAGGTTTTAGGGTCGTTGCGTTTAAAAGGTGATATTCTTCGAACGGATTAAGCAATTTCAGTAATTTTTTCTTCTAAAAGTAGCTTTTGAAATTGGCTTTCCAGTCATTATTATTTTTGGTGCTACATATTTTTTTAAATATGAAATATATTGTTTGGGGTTTGGGTTCCGCTTTTTTTGACTCACCCTGTATCATTTAAAGTAACGATTATATTGAGCTGAGGCAACTTTTGCACGAATGGCAGAATCAGCCTAGCAGCAACATTGCCACATTCATTGGCCATTCAAATTCCATGTGCATGCATGCAACCCACCGCCCTTTCATTAAAATGAACGTTAAAATGTACAAATTCGCATAAAGGAGAAATCAAGTTTGTAAACTGACTAAAATACTTTGGTGACAGGAACTGTATGCTCGAGCAATGAGTATTTACTGAACTAAAACTTCAATAGGTTAGTTGTAACTTGTTATGCACCCTACCTACTTCAGATTTTTAGACATTTTGAAGCTTCAAATGACATATAATATGCAAAAAATGCAAATGATCCTAACCTTTAAAATGAAAAAAAAAAAAATAAACTGGTATAAAGATTTGCCCCTTTGTGTTGATACAAAAGGGTTTGAAAAAAGTAAAAAAATAGAACCATTTTTCACATACATTAAAGCATTAGTTTTGAATGAGCTTTACACAATAAAAAATAAATCAACACTATGTTTTTAAATTAGAGATGCAAACAATTCTTTGTTTAGGTGATGGAATGCATTTATTTTTGTGAAATGTTCCTATGAGAAAAAAAAAATCGTGTGGTGCTTTCATTATCTATACATCACATAAACAAAAAGAATTATTTTTTTACTTAGCACAGGTGGAACTAGTGTCATCACGGAATACAGCAACCAAGGTGACTCGTCCACATGTAAATGACACACGGTCATTCCTGCTGCACTCTGATTGGTGGATACGATGGCTTGGAGTAGTTTAGAGACAGGGAAGGTACATGACGCTTCAATGACGGCTGGTAACAGAAGTGAGCCAATTGATTCACTGAACTTAGGACAAAGAAGCTCCCTGCACAGACAGCGAAGAACCAGCTTGCTACATGGAATTCAAGCAAAGGGACATCATAAAGTTCTTCATGGATTCAATAAACCTTGTAATGTTTGAAATCAGTTTTATATCACTCCAAAAAGGGAATGCTCTTGCAAAATGTTAAGTCTAAGGGGCCATTCAGAATAGTCAAGGTTAACAAATTTCAATCTTATTTTGTGGATGGGTGGGTCAAAGGAAATAACTGAAAATCTAAATTCAGTTTTCAATTAAAGTAAAAGAAAAAAGTAAAGGAAGAAGGGAAAAAAACCCAAATGCCAAGCAGCCTCTTCAAGATCGTCTGTCACGTCTATGTTGATGTGAGTTCTTGGTTCCAAAATTGTAAGTTCCAAATGTATTTGATTTATTTGCACCATTAAAAAACTGTTATCTTTTTTCATAAAAAATGTAATTTGCCTTGCTTAAATGTTAATCAGAATTTTTAAGGCAACATAAAGTACATGTAAAGGTTAATGGTAAAAGGCCAAGGCACAAGTGTTCATGCCAAGTATGGTACATTTATGTTAGGTTTATCGGACCCAAGACTGCTTTTATACATTAGTCTTTACATCTGTTTCATTCCTGTGTCTATGGTGTACTAGTATACCCTGCATTTCCTTCAGTTTAGTTTGCATGTATGAACCTCCGTACTTCAATTGAATAGCGAAATCAAAACATAAGAGTACCCTCTCTAACAGTCTCTATAACAAGGAATAAAAAAAAGGGGAGGGGCAAAATTCATGGTTTTGAAAAGTGAAAAGGCAGGAGAATTCCACCCTTGCCCATTCTTACTGCCTACACTGAAATGGCAGTATCATGCTGTATTCTCTAAAAAGAACAGAGATGGTCTAGGAAATATATGATTGGCCTGATAAGCAGCACATATATACAAATAAGACTACAGATGCCTCTTTATTAATACCTAGTTTTGTTATCAAAAGAAAAAAGTACCTGTTAGTCTCCTGGTTGTGTAGCCTTCTAACCAGCCTGGATGGTCTATAAACCAACTGAAGTGTCGTCTCTGCTAATGGTGGATGGTTGGGATATTCTATTCCGGGTGGTAAGCGTTCGTCCATTAATATCCTGATATATCTGTAGTAACCTATAATAATCATAACAATAACTATATGATATTGGATGGCTTAGAGGTGGATACAAGAACATATTGCACGAGCTATGGACGAGTTCAACATTGTCATAGCGAGTGCAATATATTCTTGTATCCACCGAAAAAAAGTCATCCAATAGTATTATTATTATTTATATCAGGCTGACTTGATCAGCAAGAAATACAATTCAAGACACTGTCTTCATTTCATCTTTTTCGTCAAACTATTTGAAGCTGCTACTGTAATTGTTGACAACAGTGCACATATACCTGATCTTTTGCGCGCTGCATGCGCGCATGCAGTGCGCAGCATGTTCCGTGTTCGACGGTACGCGCACGCGCTACGCTCTGTTGAGTGGTTGACAACTGTGACTTTCTATGCTCTTGATCGTGACCGAACCAGCAAAAATGCCGGATGACTGCAAGTATGACTGCAATAATAAAAATATTATTGTAGTCATCCGGGTACCTTTTTTTTTAAGCATGCAATACACTGATTTATTTTTACCACTGGAAGCCCGATATAAATAATAATAACTCATATTTACAGAGCACCTTCACAGAGTAATACAAAATGCTATAAAGAGATAAACAGGAAAAAGATGAAGTATGGCTAGAACATAATATTAGTTTTTAAGACTTGTTTGAGCTTCAGAGCTGTCTAGATATTGATGGGGAAGGAGTTCCCAATTCAAGGCTCATCAACAAAGACAGCGTGCTGCCCTGTATTCCTGACAGTGTGATGGAACCAACACCTAGTTCAGATATTTGAAATCAAGTACTTTAGAGACATATGGTGTTTGACAAATCGGCGAGGTCCATCCTGTGGCAGTGATCACTTGGGAAATGGAAATTCTTCAGAACATTACAAATAAAATGCCTTATGCTATTTTCTTGGAGATTGTTGGGAACAAGTTGCCCAATGTTAATAGTCAAACACTACCATTACGACAGTAGTTGTCTCCATAGTATGAACAGTCAATACACACCAACCATGATTTTAATAGTAGTGGATTTGGACGAGTTTCCACAGTTAATAAATGAAGAGAATATTAACTGAAGAAAATACTAACCGTTTTGTACAAGATACAGCAATGTGTCAGAGACTGCTAAATCTACATCTGCATCCGACAGCCTTTGTGATTGCTGGTATAAGGCTCCTTCTGTAAACACTTCTAACATCCTGAGAGGCACAGCAATAGGTACGTGGGAATCACCTCCTAACATTCTGCCAACAATTATTGCAAAATTGTGAAATGAATGAACAACATTTTTAAATGCATCTTATCAGGAGATATCTGTATTTGTATGTTGGGTCTCTTTTAACAATTTCTATTATCACAACAGTATTTAAAGAGGTTGTGGAATGCTCAAAAACATTTCCGTCATTTTTTGGGTATATGTAGCCTAAGGTGTGATGAAATAAAAACGACTATTGGGTCATTCCATGCCAACTCAACAAATGGTGCACACCATCACCTCTTGGATTTTTTTCTTTTTTGGTGTACTGAAAGATACTTAGGAGAAATGCAAATACTGAAAATTTGGGGTCTCTAGGACTTTTCGTTCTTGCGCAACAGCATTTTGAAATTTGAGGTGGGCAGGGCCAAAAGTGCGTCGCGTCACGAAATTCAATGTTTAAAGGGCCATATATTTAAAACTATACCCCCCAGACATTTCAAACTTGGTAATCTGGGCTACTTTTTGCTGTAGATTTCAAATATTTAAACAGAAAGAAAGTAGCTTGTTTCATTTTTAAGTTAAAGGGGCCCCAAAATGGCCCAAAACTCATCTGGACCAATGTTCGGGGGGGGTGTAAGTCAAAAATTGAAAATATTTTTTTCACCAAATTTTTTGCCTGTAATAGCCCCAATTGAAACTACTTTCATGTAAAATCTTACACTTATATTAACTTCATTGAATGAGATATAGCCCTTGCAAAAAGCAAATTGTTTATTTTTACGATAACTTGACCCCCCAAAAACCAACGTCAGACATTCCGCACCAAATTTTGCTTCACATATGTTTGAGGTTGGTCCTTAGTGAAGTCCTCTGAAAAGTTTCATGTTGGTGTCTAAATGTCTTCAGTAGATAGCTGGGCTTTATAATGAGTCTATATCTTACGGTGCTGGTTCCGTAACATACAAGTACACGTACATGTACATAGAATAAAACAGCAGTTGGTACATAAAGAATAAGTTGGGTATGAAACTTAGCTTACATTTGTACATGTAGACAGTTGATATAATTGTTTACAGTTTCACAGGTGAAATTATGCATTCCTTGTGATGTAGTTTTGATGAAGTTGAATGAGTTGCATGATGGTTGCCTCACTAAGTTTGTATTGCCTTCCACCGCTATGTAGAAGTTCTGGTGTTGGTACGCAACACAACACATCAACAAATGGAATGTTACATTTATCCTCTCTTTGTGGCCAATAGAGAGTATTTGTTGATTCCGTCCTGTACATGAAGCAGACATACACATCCTCATGAAGTTGTGATACATGTACATCTTCTACAATTTAGCAATGTACCAAACATCATCATAGACCACACAAACATATTTTCCTGGGTTGAGGTCAGCTGCTACAATTGGTGCATGATGAGTTTGAGCATACATGCAACTCCTTGGATGAACTAGGTTTCCCCTTATCCATAATGAAAACTAAGATCAATCAGGTTAAAACCATAGACCCTCTACTCAAACTGAATCACTTCTCTTTGGTTCAGGTTAGTGCTATACTATGTTGTGCAAGTGAGAACTGGTTAATTACTACATACATGACATGCATGCTGTGTGATGAGCACATGGAAAGAATTAGACTCTCAAGTCATTTAACCTAATTTGCATATAATGCACACATAGGTCTACAAGCAACTGTTTATTGAGCAGGAAATGGGTAGTCTTGACCCAAGTCTTTCAACAGTCGGGGGATTTTGTTGTGCTGGTTCCGTAAAATACAAGTACATGTACATGCACATGTATGTTACGGAACCTGCAGCATCATAAGATATAGACTCTTTATAAAGCCCAGCTATCCACTGAAGAAATTTAGACACCAACATGAAACTTTTCAGAGGACTTCACTAAGGACCAACCTCAAACATATGTGAAGCAAAATTTGGTGCGGAATGTCTGACGTTGGCTTTTGGGGGGGTCAAGTTGTCGTAAAAATAAACAATTTGCTTTTTGCAAGGGCTATATCTCATTCAATGAAGTTAATATAAGTGTAAGATTTTACATGAAAGTAGTTTCAATTGGGGGCTATTACAGGCAAAAAATTTGGTGAAAAAAATATTTTCAATTTTTGACTTACACCCCCCCGAACATTGGTCCAGATGAGTTTTGGGCCATTTTGGGGCCCCTCTAACTTAAAAATGAAACAAGCTACTTTCTTTCTGTTTAAATATTTGAAATCTACAGCAAAAAGTAGCCCAGATTACCAAGTTTGAAATGTCTGGGGGGTATAGTTTTAAATATATGGCCCTTTAAACATTGAATTTCGTGACGCGACGCACTTTTGGCCCCGCCCACCTCAAATTTCAAAATGCTGTTGCGCAAGAACGAAAAGTCCTAGAGACCCCAAATTTTCAGAATTTGCATTTCTCCTAAGTATCTTTCAGTACACCAAAAAAGAAAAAAATCCAAGAGGTGATGGTGTGCACCATTTGTTGAGTTGGCATGGAATGACCCTATTGTGTCTGTCATGAAATGAGTACAAAAGGTACTTTTGAGAGCTGTTTTTCAGGTCCTGTTTCGACCCGAACTTGCAATTTGTGTAAAAGTCCTCGTTGGGGGCAGCAAACAAAACATAGTAAATTGAAACATAATAAACAGGACTCCCGATGCAGCGTAGTATAAACGAGTCACCGAAAAATGACGGAAATGTCTTCGAGCATTCCACAACCTCTTTAATAAACTTTTGTGGATATGACATAACCTGAACACAAAATGTGTGTTCATTTCATGTAGAACAAGTCAGGTGTGTTTACAAACACAAATGCCCCGCAACCGTGACTGTTCCCATGACATAACACCACTCTTTTAACATCAACTTATGTACCTAGGTCACATGGAACTTTCATTGACAGCATTAGTGTCTTCTGTAGGTTTTATATGAATTAATCCCTAATCCCTTTGATCTCAGAATAAATACAAGATTTCTATTGTTTTAGCCACTGTGACCTTGACCCTTGACCTGACAAGATTTTTCTGGACACACACACCCACCCACCCACCCACCCACCCACGGAAGGACAAGGCGGAAACAGTATGCCCCTTCGGCCTCGCCGCGGGGCATAAAAATTAATCCTATGATAAAAGAACAGTCAAACTCAGATTTTGTTTTATACTAAAAACAGGATATTGGCAACAATGGTAAATGTGAATGTTTGTATTGACATGTCTAAATGAAACAGGATTTATGTATGATGAAGCAGTAATAAACATGTGGTTTATAACCTCTTAGGGGCCTGGCCACCGATAATGGCCCAAGCCGAAATAGCTTTTTGATCACATGGCATAAAAAGTCGAAAAGTTGACACAACTTCAGTGATTTTGTTCAAGCATTTTACACCCTGTTCAGATCAGGCCACTTCTACTGTGGGAGATGGGAGATCATGATCAGTGCTTCTGAAGCAGTTAGCTGTAGCTAGTGCACGTGGCGCGTACTGCATGCATGTGACAGATGTGAATTTCATGAAGTGAATTCATTATTAGGTTTTGCCCTCCACCGACGTATAAACAATGTATACTTAGTGTGTTACACCCCCCCCCCCCCACCCCCGAGTGAAAATGAGAACAAAAAAAAAAAACAGTGGTAAGGCCAAAAAAAAAAAGTGTCCGGTTTCTGGTATGCGCGCGCGTCGCCGTAGCCATGCGCGTCGGCAAAATGAAAAAGTTTTTTTTTCAATGAAAGATGATGTCTCAAAACCGCCAAACTCACTGGTTTGACTGGAGTCCTGCTGCTGCACAATTTTAGCGAGTTTTTGGATGGGGTTATGGTCGAGAATAAGCTTTATGTGGCCTCTCTGGACTCCCATATATTTGCACTAAGTTTAGTCGGGCACCATTTGCAGTCATCAGCACACATTTGAAGCAAAAAAATCAGGTAAAATATTAAAAAAAAGCCGCATCGCCGCACCACTTTTTGGGCAAGCTCCATACCAGAAACCGGAGACTTTTTTTTTTTGGCCTAAGACATCTTCACTAGAAAGCAGGAGGTGGTGGGTTTGACGCCCACCAAAATGATTTTGTTCTCACTTTCACTTGGGGGGGGGGGGGGAGAGTACACCCTGAGTATACAGTGTTTATATGTCGGTGGAGGGCAAAACATAATTCTGAAGATAATGATAGTGAATCATCAGCTAAAAACTATTGACGTTTTCAAGTGTGCCATTTTTGGAAACAATTGACCTAAAGTTGTGACTAATTTCTACACCACATTTTTACCTTAGAACTAAAAACATGTATCAAGATACACCTACATGTACCAAACCTGTCCATAAGTTCTATTATTAAAGAAACTGGTACTGATATTTAACTGAATGAGGTTAAGGCTTATTAACTGAGACATTTGGCAAACTCCTTAATAAGTTGTGTGCTAGGCTACTCCGCCCATGCCACTACCCTGGCTGTTATTTTCCCCTTCTACTGTGCCTTTGTGCCTTTATCCAAATCCAATGCCTGGTTATGTAATGGCTAGTGGTAGAGGATAGATGTTAACAGTTAGGATAATGGTTCAGTTGAAGCTTACAATCAATGTCATCAAATCCTTTGGTTTCTCACCTACAACACAGGAGCAACAATTTCCTGATCTGATGCAGCCAGGTAGCATGATGGTGGATCAGCAGCTCTACACACAGATGTTGATGCTTCAGGAAAGTCTGACATAATATAATCTTCACGACAATAGACAAAAACAAATATTAAATCAAAAAGGTTTTATTATTAAGGAATAACAGTGTGAGTACCCAGTCTTCATAATGAGCAGGTTGGCATGGTTGGGGGATGGCCGCTGTTAATGTACCAAGCTGAAGAAAGATTAAATGTACCATTTCAAAAAGGTGCTCGGGTCGTGTTCACCCAATGATATAGTAACTGATAATGGTATTTTTTTTCATAGTTTTTTTTTTTATACAAAATATTAAAGAGAAGATAAAAGGTGTGCAATTTGAAATGTTTACAAAATGGTCAGGGAGATGGGTCATGAAGGGTTGTCTTTCCTTGAGGCTACAACTTTGTTCTTGCAACTAGCTCATCCACTCCTTTGTTGGCAGTCTCCCAATTAGTCAATGTCTTTGTTCAAGGAGCACTAGTCAGATGTCATAAAGCCATTATGCAATGTAGCCAGGGATTACACCCAAAGTCATGTTGCAAGCAACATCAGCAATGTCAAAACCTGGGCAATAGCAAATGCAAATCACCCCGAGAGGTTTAGGCGTTTTCCATTAAAAGTCATCCCAATAAACAACAAAGGGAAACTGACTAGGCATATACATGTACATAATTATAAAGTTGAACAAAGAAATTGACTACAGCGGGATTTGAGCCTATGACCTATGGAATAGCATACTGGGGCTCTACCAACTGAGCTATCCAGCCCTACTCATTATGCTAGCAATCTTCCAATGTCGATGTTCAGTATGAAATAATTTCTACAAGAATCAGTTAGCTTCTGAGCAATTATGATTACAGAATACAATACAATGCATAAATAAAATGGTGATCACAAGTTAGTTCTCAAAAATTGTTGAGCGGGTAAGAGTGCATACGTGCATGTTACGGGCAGTCGATCTCGCCCTATCTCGCCCAAACCCGTCACGTATACGCATGAGAGTGCTCGAAAAGCGCACGACAGATGAATGAAATTCTGGCAGACACCTCGCAAGTCACCGAAACTCCTCGATATATGGAATTCATTCTAAAATATTTGTTTCATTTGTCAATTGTCAACATTTCAGATTGGGAAAGACTGCTGATTATCAAATCAGATTGGAAATTAGGTGATATTTAAAGGGTGAAATTTATAACAGAGCTCTCATTGGTCAAAAATAATGTCATTGAGAAAGCCTTGACAATAACATGTAGTTCTTATATGCCTATTAACAATACGCACAACTTATCCGTGCACACAATCTCGCCCAATCTCGCTCGATGGAAATTGTTAGAGAGGAGCCAAATTTAAATAAAGTTTTTTATTCAAGATTTGCTTATCAGCACAGTTATACTTACCAATCTCTGTGAATCTAAATCCTCCCTGAAGAATAAGATCAATTGAGACTGCAATGACAGCAGGGTTTCTGCATTCAAAGTAGACGATGATGACGATGATGATCTACCCTTTCCTCCTTGTTGGACACGCCCCATCTCAGCATCCCATTCATTCCTAAGCTTAGCTTTAAGTCTGAGCCTGATCAGTGATCCACGCACAAAGGATTGGATGATTGTGGCACTGTGCTGCTTCCTTCTCTCCTCCTATGGGTGAGTTCAGGATTGATGTCATTAGTATCAATTTAGGATTAATATTTGAGAATAAAATAGTACTGTGATCCGAGCAGGACTACAAAGATAAGTTAGAGCAAGACGACTACAAGCCCTGCATTGTATAGGAGTGTATTTGATTGGTAAATATCATTTCACAAACAAGCACATGTACTGAAAGGAACGCTTTCAACTGGAAGGTGCCCTTTTGGGCGCTAAAACCTATTTCCCACAAAGTTATTTCAGTGGGAAAGATCATTAAAAAGTAAAATATACATGTGCCACACTTGTGCCTTGACAAATTGTTGTGTTTGTGTATAAATTACACATACGGGAATAAGGGGTACACAATTTTGGTCCTCATCCATTGAGCCATTAGAGTGCTAGTCTGGATTTAACTCATACGTTTCTCTATTTCTGAAAAGTTGTCAAGAACCCCCACCCAAGGATCGCTCCATCCAAGTTACATTAAAATCCATGAAATTCTGTAGACAAAGAAACATTTGAAGCATATTTGAACAATGACCTCTAATGATTCTACATGACCTTTGACCTCAGTAATCCGATGAAAAATTGTGTCTTCTTACCCAAGGGTCACTGCGACCAAGTTTCATCAACATCCATGAAAGCATGTAGAAGTTATACACTTTGTTCAAAAACTTAACCTAGTTTTTAACATACGGTCATAGTATTACGGGGATACAGACGACTTCACGGGAAGGCCTAGTGCGGTAGGAGCATTGTTGTCCTTTTATCCCTTTTTCTAAAGATTCAACTCATGGGGTACCGTTTTTCTGAAGATTTCACTTGTGGGGCACCGTTATTTGTACGAGTACCCCACAAGTGGTCGGGGCCCAATTTCATGGCTCTGCTAACCACAGAATTCCGCGCTTACGATCACCATTTTGTGCTAACCGCGCTAGCAGAAAAATTCTGTGCTAACCCTGTAAGCACAGAATCCTTCGTTACGGGATGTACGCATGTGCATCAGCCAAAATTCCTCGCTAACGCGTGAAATGCGCTTACCGTAAGCACAAAATTTCTGCTACAGTAAGCAGGTTTTTTTCGTTAACAGTAAGCAGAACCAAGAAATTGGGCCCTGGTCAGGACGGTTATACAGAATTTCGGACTGGTAAGTGTCCCCCTTAACTGTTTAGGTGACACAAAAATAAAACAATCAAATTATAATTTAATACAAAAACAATTGAGGACATTTTCCCCATTTGTAAGCATATTTTGCCTTCTTATGATTCCCCTTCCCCTAAAAAACATGCAGATTTTTCTGTCAACTATTCCTAACAACACAGCAATGACAAAAATTATGAGTACATGAAATTACGTGCTCACCTCTCTTTTTAATCTTTCATGTTGAGTACGCTGTAGAAGAGATGACGTTTCTTCCTGAAAAATTTGATGTCAACAAACTGAAACATTACTAAGTAGTAGGTACACACATAGATATACTACACGTACACACTACATGTACACGCATACTACATAGACTCATTTCTTCAATTGTGGTAGAAATCAAGAGTTTATTTCCAAAACACTATATATCCATTAAAAATTATGTGAAAAGTTTGCCTGTTTATCAAAGTTTAAAGAATAAAACCAATAAAAACGATGTTTGTAATCTTCTGTTTCTGTTTGACTGTCCCCTTAAGTTGTGTTTGACTAAAACCCATCCAAACTGACTTTGGGCAGCCAGGAGACAGTGTGATTCTTATTCGTAACAAAATGGCATATCACGTTTTGAAAATAAACTCTTCATATTATGGTACACGCTCATGTTCACGACAAACTCTACATTAACTCTAGAACAACAAAAGACTGTGAAACCAACATGATTTAAAGAATTATAGGAAGAGCAACAAAACCGATTCCAAAGGCCATCTGTTGAAGAAAAGTTTTAAAAAAGCCAGTTTTTTACAACGCTGGTCGGCCGACCAGCGTCGTAAAAAAACTGGCTTTTTTGAAATAATGTCCTCAATTTTCTATATAATTGGAAATTGATACCAAAAAACCCTTTTTTTAAGAAAATGACAGCACACAAGGTACCATACTTTTACTGGACGCTTTAGACTGTCATTCACCAACAATCCAGTAAGGTATTTCATAATAATTTGGTAAGTTTTGTCTTTATGTTTGCAAATGTTGTATATTCCCTTTAAATCCATCAATACAGTGTAGTTTAAACAAAAAAAGGTGGGTATTGATTATTGGTAACTTAAATTTGTATTGATCATCAAGTTCAAAAAGTGATTAATAAAAACTGTACACAAAAAGTTGATTGCAGCAGCCATAGTGATTGGCTCCAATCTTGACTACATGTACAGGTACATGATCTGAGACTGATCGCAGTTCAACCTCCAGTCCTGACCTTGATTATATCATCACTTCACTCATTAACCCTAACTTCCTAGGGGGTATGCAAAATCGTATTGAAATTGGAGGATTCAGCACCCGATTTCACGAAGCGCTGCGACGCGTTGCAACTCGAGTTACGACGTGTAACACGTCGCAATTCGCAACGCGTCGTATCTTCCATTTCACGAAAGTTGCGATGTACGTGTTGAACACGTCGTAAGTTCCTTGACAACGGCTTAAAACACGTCGCAAGTTAAGACGTGTCTATTGGTCGTCACAAAATAAGAAGAGTCATTTCTAAGCCAGTTTTATGCCACAAACATTACATTAACGAGATTATAATACCGAGGCAATGTGTGTTAAGTTGTAAATAGAAAATTCATTGAATAATTATGAATTAGACCGGAATATTAGAGTTGAAATTTCAGAGAAGCTATACAGTCCAATGAGAGCTTGTTTTCCTTCAAAATTGCATCGCACGGCCGCCATTTTGTTTTACGTTTTAACAAATTTTGAGCTGAGATCCGACGACTCTTTGTTGAATATCAGACGACTATTTACTGTACGCTGACTAAAGACATAAAACAGTCACCGAGTTGTGCTATAAATACACCTACGACGCGTCGCACTTACGACGTGTTTAGTGAAATGGATCGCAGGACGCGTCGCAGCTGCGACGCATCGTAGAGATACGATGCGTCGCAGCGCTGCGATGCATCGTAAGTTACGAAGAATTTGATGAAATCGGGTGCAGGACTGTTAGGGCTGTCTGTCCTTACCTTCTTACTGGCTCCTCTCAGTGAAACCACTGGACGTCTTTTGAACTCGCCTTCAAAACTATACATATCTTTCGGACAGATCATTCACTACAAGCTCCTTTTATAAATCTGATGACAAAAAGAATAATAACATTTATTATTGCATTAATTGCATCAAAATATTTTTACATTGGCACCATCTGGACATATTTTTGTGAACTACAATATACTTCACATCATGTCAAGCTTACAAGACTTAGTTAAAGCAAACATTTCCATACAAACATGTAACCTGTAATGACTGATGTACATGTACGGCACATGTTGATCCATAACTCTCAAATTTCTGAACCGTGGATTTTTGGATGAATGGACCGACGATCTTAGCAGGGAAATTGGCGTCTGGATAACCTTCATTTTTTTTGAAAGATCCCCGAAACAAACCCTTGCACAATGGAACAGCAATACATACTGGTTGATTTGGCAGACTTTTAAAGTGGATTTAGCAGAATTTTACATGGTACGTATTACGGTCATCCTGCCATGTAAGACGGTTAGTCGGGTACCCACTGGTGGGACTCCTACCATTTTGCGCATGCGGAACTCGGGGTACCAGAGTGTCATGCCTGTCTTTGATTTTCTGATCATTTTGAAAACGTTCATTGCGACAAAGTTGTGCTGTACTTTACATCAAATTTCTTGGCAATGACAGATCCAACACTCGCGTAAATTCACAGGAAGCCTAACAAGTAAGTGATTTACCTATGGGTAAAATTATACATGGTTATACATGTATGTAGCGGATCAAAAGATACCCAAGGGAAGCGCGTGGCGTTGTATACAACGCCACATTCACGGGTCTAGGTAATGCCTAGTCCTAGTCCGTTGCGCTTTTGTCTTCAGCGCAACGGCACAAATTCACGCACGGACTGAAAACCCTTGGCCCAGCCCATAATACGTCACACAAAATTGATTAATGTGTGTGTAGTTGGGTCGTATTGCACGCGCGATCCAGAACTAGGCAAAAACATAGGTCATTCCTTGGCAAATTTTCAAATATTAGGGACTCTACAACTAATTTTGATACAACAAACTTTCGATAGAAGAGTTTATACTGTACGACTGTAGTGTATGAACAAATACATAATATAATATTGAAGTATATACTAAGAAAACACTTAGAAATGTTCAGACTAGTCTCATACTCATCATAGGGTTTGTGCACACTTGCACGGGATGACAAGTGATGGCCAGATATGGGAATCTTTCCAAAACTGCAAATGGGAAAATCAACATTTGACAAAGTTCTACATTTTTGGTAGTCCGAGTAAATTGGACCCAACTTTATTATTAATCATTTCTGGTAATGAAACCAAGGATTCCTCAAAAGCGCCCTAGGCACTGTAGCTCGCAAGCCTGAAGAAACCTGTGGAGAGAAGACAATGAGAAGAAGTTACAGTTTTAGAGGTGGGAGGAAAAGCCCAGAAGAATATTTTGGGGAAAACCCACGGAATCAGGCAGGGACTGAAAACCCAATCCACATATTGGCCCAGGCGGGATTCGAACCCGGGTCACAGCGGTGGAAGGCGAGGAAAGTACTGCTACGCCAACCTGACTTACGATCCGGATGAAAAGTGAAATTTCCAGTTCAATTCCGAGAGCTCCCCTCGCGATCGTGAACACGTTAAATTTCTGACTCGTGTTTGAATTGCGATCTGGTCTTCATGCCCAGCGTTCATTCGATGGTCCCCGTATCCCGAGTGCGATTCCGTTACCGAGCGCGCGCGATGCAACCGAGCACGCGATGCATCGATTATGATAATGAGCAGACTGGATCACGTTTGTAAACACAGGTGCATTTCGAACGATGAAAGGGAGTCGGGAACTAGCTTGAACCGGTTTCCGTCCATAAAATCTGCCCTTGTTCCCGACTCCCTATTATCGTTCGAAATGCACCTGTGTTTACAAACCAGAGTTCCGCATGCGCAAAACGGTAGGAGTATCACCAGTGGGTACCCGACTAACCGTCTTACATGGCAGGATGACAGTAATACCATAAAATTCTGCTAAATCCACGGAAAAAATCGGATACCCGATCACCACTTACCTGCCACCAAACAAATACATTTTCACCTCACCTTGTGATTTCAACCAAGAGGAATCCAGGAAACAGCGGACATGCGAAAAAAAATTAGTAAAAATGTGTTTTTAGAGCACATTTTGGATGCACATGTATGATGTAGTGCAGATCTGAGTTGAAGCAGCCGGTCAAAACTGATTGAAGTGTCTGGAACAGCGGTACGTTATACGCATGGCATCGATAACCATGACCAATGGCATAACCAATGATAGCCCCATAAATGTGGCCTATTTACTGGACTGCCTCCGTAAACATAGGCCACACATTCACATGTACAAAAACGTGTCGACTTTGCCAAATTTTGATTTTCACATTTAGGCTTACTTTTTACGGTTTTTTTTGCTTTAGAAGCATTCTCACCCTCTATATAGGCTAATCAGAAAGTGCTGCCTTTTTCAGATGTCTATTTTTCATGAAATTTCCAGATACATTGGCACACGTTTGCGTATCAAAATTTCAACATGAAATTTCACAAAAATTAAACATCTGAAAAAGGCAGCACTTTCTGATTAGCCTATATAGAGGGTGAGAATGCTTCTAAAGCAAAACAAATCTACAAAGTAAGCCTAAATGTGAAAATCAAAATTTGGCAATGTCGACACGTTTTTTGTACATGTGGATGTGTGGCCTATGTTTACGGAGGCAATCCAGTAAATAGGCCACATTTAGGCCAATGATAGTGCAATACGTCATTATGAATATTTATTTTCTCATGAATATTTAGTTTATTTCAATGGATACTTCAAATACGTCCAAAGATTGATCATTGCAACACTATAGACTGAAGCGTGGCTATGTATATAGCCACGTTCACGGGTCTACCCGTTTGCTAGTGCTACTCACCAAAACAGGAACTGCATGCACGGCCACCACTGGCCAGTGTATGTTGGCTGCAGCGCGCGCAGAACGTGAACTCGTTCACTTCAACTTCAGTTCCAACATTCAACAACACAAATTTCAATCAAGGATATGATTTGCACGTCGTCCAGAAGTCTAATTTAAAGCGAAAATGGTCAACACAACGGTCAATCAATCAACCGAGGTAGGAAACAGTTTATCCACAGAAAATTCTAGAACCAGAAAAATGGACAACGCATGAGAGATGTAAAATGTATTTCTGCAAAGTGCAATTCATACTGCATGTATTGCATGTTTCGCATGTAATTGTGTTGCTGGACTGTTTTAGTCAGTACCCGCTGATTCGCTGAATAAGCACACTCACACCAAAGTGAAGAGAAAAAGCAACCAGACCAAAGAGTGCTCCGTGCGCAAAAAAGAGGGCGCCCTGTGTGCGTTCGAATAGCTCACCCGTATCCCATAACGCGTTAACGGCATCACTTATCCGGCCGGCCGATGTGCTAACTTGTATTGGTATTGTAGAATACCCCGCCACTCGGAAATACACCCCTGAAATCTCTGGCTACGCGTTCGGGCGGTGCTCCGTGCACAAAAAGTACAGTACAAAAAGTACCGCGGTACCCCTTCAACGGCCAGAAAAGAAGAGTTGGGGGATACCTAGACTTATGTTTCCATAGTCCGTGATCTTGGTGTTATTATGGCGAGCCAAAGTAACATTTATATTAACAAAGTCTTAATACAATTTAAAGATAGCTCTAAATGATTTAGAGATATCTCTAAATATTTAGAGATATCTCTAAATATTTAGAGATATCTCTTAATACTTAAAGATTTCTCCCAATCGTTTAAAAGACAAATTATTTTGATAAATAAGTGACACACGAAAGAGCTTTATTGTCAATGATTTAAAGATATCATTAAATCATTTAAAGATATCTCTAAATTATTTAGAGATATCTCTAAATGTTGGCATCAACGATTGCTTTAAACACACCGTTTTATTGGTCACAATGACGTCTTATAATACAATTTCTAGTGCCATCCGTCTTTGATGGAAATGCTAAATGTGGTTGGCATCAACGTGGACTTTAAGTGCATTATTTGGCAACATGGATGAATGGAAATTCTTTCATTTGCAACTTCGGTTTGACATGAAATGCATTGTTGAAAAACATCATTCGCCTGAGTGTGCGGCGCTTCCTAATTTGTGAACCTCGACGGAACCGTGAATGTTTTAGAGATATCTCTAAATATTTAGAGATACCGGTATCTCTAAATATTTGAAAACACGAAGTAGGTGTTCCGAACAATTTACACACGATTTAGAGCTATCTCTAAAACATTATGAGATATCTCTAAAACATTTAGAGATATCTCTAAATGTTTTAGAGATCATAAGAGATATCTCTAAATCCTTTTAGAGATATCTCTAAATGAATATCTTTAAATCATTTACAGATATCTCTAAATGATTTAAAGATATCTCTAATTCATTTTGAGATTTCTCTAAATGATTTAGAGATATCTCTAAATTGTGTGTTAAATAATGAGACACCTACTTCGTGCATTCCAAGATTTAAAGATAATCTTTAAATATTTAGAGATATCTCTAAATCGGTTACGGCTCCGTTGAACCACTAAATACAATGCTTTGCACGCACAAGTCAATCATGTTGCCATATCGAATGCACCGTAAATCGCTGGTGTTGTATTTCAAGTATTGCATTTGAAGTGAGTGGTGTTGCCATTTTTTTTAAGTCATCGTCGAGGTCGTCAATAAAATAATTGTATTTACTGAAGCCCGTGTTACCAACATTTTAACAATAGCTCAATGCTGCGCAAATTAAAACACGATTTAAAGATACATATATCTCGAAATGATTAGAGATATCTCTAAAACTTTTAGAGATATCTTTAGATCATTTAAAGATATATCTTAATACATAACATACATCGTCGTTAGCACTAAATTGTTTTTAATGACTTTGCTAATGCTATATAAATGTTACTTTGGCTCGCCATATGTTATGTTAGATGCATCAGGGACTATGTCTGCACATGTCATAAAGCTATGCAAATCAGCATCTTATGCATTGTGGAGGATAGGTAAAATACGTAACCTGCTTGACCGGCATTCAACTGAGAAATTAATCTATGCTTTTGTTACTTCAAAACTTGATTATTGCAACAGTTTGCTTTTTGGCCTGCCTGAGTTCGAATTGACAGGTTATTCAAAATTCAGCCGCACGCCTAGTCACTAGGATGAAAAAAAATCTGAGCATATTACTCCAGTGCTGAAAAGTTTGCATTGGCTTCCAGTAAATAAGCGTTTGGAATTCAAAGTTATTTGTTATAAAAGAGTGATGAATGACTCAGTCTTAACGGACGTTTCAAACCTTGCAGGGTCGCGGTCGTGGTGACTTGCAGGTTACAGGTCACGCAAAATCTATCCAATCACAGCGTTAATTCGTCTGCCCTTCCCAGCGTCCTGTTTGCAGGGCGGGGGGTACGAGCGAAGTATGGAGGCAGGATCGGACAGGGAAAACAGCCCCGTTGCCAGCTTCGGGCATTGGGGGAGGCCTAGAGTACCAGTTAGGGGGCACACCACAATAACAAAACACATTTCGTCACTGACACTGAAAATATCCCGCAACTGCCAGTTCGTCCTGTGATAAGGCGAACTCAATAATCGGAGAAAAAGGCTAGATGGCGTACTGGCTTCATCGGTTCATGTCGAGACTTCCATGGGCAGCAACTCCGTCACCACGAAGTGGAAGTTCGCAGGGGCGGATCCAGGATTTTCAAAAAGGGGGGGCACAAAAACTTTGTGCGCGTTGCACACATAACGAGACTGAAGCGCGAAATCCCTTGCGGGCGGGGTTGAGGGCACTGGAAGCTCTACGATTTTAAATGTTGTCTCCTACATCATGAGTATTTTAAGCCATTAAGAGCAAAATTCACAATGTTTATTTTTTAATTTTAATAAAAAAAAATTGCTATCAAATACAGAATTTAAAGTCACTGTTGATGTTAGTTGAAATTGAACCCCAAAATTAGAAGGTGCTGATGACAGCCCCCGGGTGAAAAAAAAATGAAATGTGTTATTTTGCGAGCGAGCGGAGCGAGCGAGCCAAAAAAAGTCATGTTTACTATTAAAACATACATTTCTACCCAGAAATTTGCCTTGCAAACAAAGAAAATAAAATAAATTGAATTTCATTAGGGGACAGCCTGCCCCAAGCAAGGGTGGATCCAGAACACAATTTTTTTTTTTTGGGGGGGGGCCCAAAAACAAATTTGGTTCTCCAAAAAAGTGGGTCAAAAAAATAACGGCGTGGGGTTCGGGGCCCGCTTAAGGGCCCCGAAAATTTTTTTGATTCTAGATGCTCTGTGGTGCGATCTGAGGCAATTTCTGACCACTTTAAACAATGTTTTTTTGAGGAAAAGATGGTGGTGTACTCATTGCCTGCCTTTTTTGCGATGTCATATAAAAAAAAAAATTGCTTTGGTTTTTATTGGGGGGGGGGGGCATGGCCCCCTTTGGCCCCCCCTCCCTGGATCCGCCCTTGGCCCCAAGCAGCCCCTACCCCCACCCCACCCCATTTTGGTTGATGTTATTGTCGTTTCATTTTTGGGTTTTTTTTTTGGTTGCTTCCATCATCATTAATAATATCCTTTTCGTTTTGCCCCTCTCCTGGTATTTTCTTTCTTTTACCATGTAATGTAATTGGTGATTTTAGTTCAATTCGTATTTTCTCCATTATCGTCCCGTTTGTCTGTGTGTGTGTGTGTGTGTGTGAGTCTGTGTGTGTGGGTTTGTTTATGGTGTAAATCGAGCTCGCGCGGATGTGATTGGCTTCACTTTTGAGTCCCAGTATAATGTGTGGTAACTGCGGTCATATATACTTAATTTGTATATACACTTGCATACACTTTAACCACCATTTTTTCCATGTTCTTTTGAAGTCTGCAGGCTAAATAATTTAAGACGAAATGAATCGTCTGCATTCTGCAAGTGTTGTCGAATCACTTCAAGAAATGTCAAGGCCTAAGGAAAATCGTTTATTTGTATTTGGGGGGGGGGGGGGGGCTCCGATTTTCTTAAAAAGAAAACAAAAAAAACCCAGCTTTTATTTAACGGAAATGCAAACTGCATCCAAATTCCAATTTCCAAAATATAAAAAACTTTGCCAGCACAAATTTCCCGAAAGCGGCAGCATTCCTGAGCTGCCGCTTTCACATACAAGGTTTCAAAATAGTTACGTAAAAGATTTCTGGCTACTCAACCGGATCCAGAACACAATTTTTTTTTGGGGGGGGGCCCAAAAACAAATTTGGTTCTCCAAAAAAGTGGGTCAAAAAATAACGGCGTGGGGTTCGGGGCCCGCTTAAGGGCCCCGAAAATTTTTTTGATTCTAGATGCTCTGTGGTGCGATCTGAGGCAATTTCTGACCACTTTAAACAATGTTTTTTTGAGGAAAAGATGGTGGTGTACTCATTGCCTGCCTTTTTTGCGATGTCATATAAAAAAAAAAATTGCTTTGGTTTTTATTTGGGGGGGGGGGGGCATGGCCCCCTTTGGCCCCCCCTCCCTGGATCCGCCCTTGGCCCCAAGCAGCCCCTACCCCCACCCCACCCCATTTTGGTTGATGTTATTGTCGTTTCATTTTTGGGTTTTTTTTTTGGTTGCTTCCATCATCATTAATAATATCCTTTTCGTTTTGCCCCTCTCCTGGTATTTTCTTTCTTTTACCATGTAATGTAATTGGTGATTTTAGTTCAATTCGTATTTTCTCCATTATCGTCCCGTTTGTCTGTGTGTGTGTGTGTGTGTGAGTCTGTGTGTGTGGGTTTGTTTATGGTGTAAATCGAGCTCGCGCGGATGTGATTGGCTTCACTTTTGAGTCCCAGTATAATGTGTGGTAACTGCGGTCATATATACTTAATTTGTATATACACTTGCATACACTTTAACCACCATTTTTTCCATGTTCTTTTGAAGTCTGCAGGCTAAATAATTTAAGACGAAATGAATCGTCTGCATTCTGCAAGTGTTGTCGAATCACTTCAAGAAATGTCAAGGCCTAAGGAAAATCGTTTATTTGTATTTGGGGGGGGGGGGGGGGGGCTCCGATTTTCTTAAAAAGAAAACAAAAAAAACCCAGCTTTTATTTAACGGAAATGCAAACTGCATCCAAATTCCAATTTCCAAAATATAAAAAACTTTGCCAGCACAAATTTCCCGAAAGCGGCAGCATTCCTGAGCTGCCGCTTTCACATACAAGGTTTCAAAATAGTTACGTAAAAGATTTCTGGCTACTCAACCGGATCCAGAACACAATTTTTTTTGGGGGGGGGGGCCAAAAACAAATTTGGTTCTCCAAAAAAGTGGGTCAAAAAATAACGGCGTGGGGTTCGGGGCCCGCTTAAGGGCCCCGAAAATTTTTTTGATTCTAGATGCTCTGTGGTGCGATCTGAGACAATTTCTGACCACTTTAAACAATGTTTTTTTGAGGAAAAGATGGTGGTGTACTCATTGCCTGCCTTTTTTGCGATGTCATATAAAAAAAAAAATTGCTTTGGTTTTTATTTGGGGGGGGGGGGGGGCATGGCCCCCTTTGGCCCCCCCCCCCTCCCTGGATCCGCCCTTGGCCCCAAGCAGCCCCTACCCCCACCCCACCCCATTTTGGTTGATGTTATTGTCGTTTCATTTTTGGGGTTTTTTTTTTTTTGCTTCCATCATCATTAATAATATCCTTTTCGTTTTGCCCCTCTCCTGGTATTTTCTTTCTTTTACCATGTAATGTAATTGGTGATTTTAGTTCAATTCGTATTTTCTCCATTATCGTCCCGTTTGGGTGTGTGCGTGAGCTTGTCTTACATACGCAGTGTGGACTTCCGAACAAAAGACGTCCACATAATGTAGGTAGCACCGACGTTGTGTGGACTTGCCCACGTCCACACAGTGTTTCCCCATTTCTGGAAAACAGGTTTAGAGGCATTTTTGGGTTAGGTTTATCTGTAGCAGCATGAAGAGAAACACTAAAGGGAATCATAGAAAAAAAATTGGGTTGAAAGAGGTTTCACAGTTTGAGAAAAATGAGTTTTTTCACTGGTTTTTCTTAACTACACGAAAGCAATGGAAAGTCCACACTAGTCATGTGAAACAAGTAGGTGTGTGTGTGTGGGTGTGTGGGTTTGTTTATGGTGTAAATCGAGCTCGCGCGGATGTGATTGGCTTCACTTTTGAGTCCCAGTATAATGTGTGGTAACTGCGGTCATATATACTTAATTTGTATATACACTTGCATACACTTTAACCACCATTTTTTCCATGTTCTTTTGAAGTCTGCAGGCTAAATAATTTAAGACGAAATGAATCGTCTGCATTCTGCAAGTGTTGTCGAATCACTTCAAGAAATGTCAAGGCCTAAGGAAAATCGTTTATTTGTATTTGGGGGGGGGGGGGGGGCTCCGATTTTCTTAAAAAGAAAACAAAAAAAAACAGCTTTTATTTAACGGAAATGCAAACTGCATCCAAATTCCAATTTCGGATTACTAATTCGTTATAACGGATTGTTTAATTCGTTATTACGGATTATTTAATTCGTTATTACGGATTATTAATTCGTTATAACGGATTATTTAATTCGTTATTACGGATTATTAATTCGTTATTACGGATTATTAATTCGTTATTACGGATTATTAATTCGTTATAACGGATTATTTAATTCGTTATTACGGATTATTAATTTGTTATTACGAATTAGGTCTGATGTTCTCACACGTGGAAAGCACGTGACCAGGGGCATGTGTATATAGCGCCGCTAGGCGGTTTTATCTTTGCATACAACGTTTGCACTCCTGTGCCATACTTGCCGAGTAATGACTCAGAACGTATGAGTAATTCGTAATAACGAATTAATAATCCGTAATAACGAATTAAATAATCCGTAATAACGAATTAATAATCCGTAATAACGAATTGAATAATCCGTTATAACGAATTAGTAATCCGTAATAACAAATTAAATAATCCGTAATAACGAATTAATAATCCGTTATAACGAATTAGTAATCCGTAATAACGAATTAATAGTCCGTAATAACGAATTAAATAATCCGTTATAACGAATTAGTAATCCGTAATAACGAATTAAATAATCCGTAATAACGAATTAATAATCCGTAATAACGAATAAGTAATCCGTAATAACGAATTAGTAATCCGTAATAACGAATTAAATAATCCGCAACATATATACTTGCAGTGGCGCTAATGGGCTTTCGTAGTGATGAAAGCAACCAATGGCATATTTATTTGCCGGGAACCGGCTCATTTCATTGGCTGAGATACTATCATCACTGTTTACCATCTAAGAATCTTCCAATTACTGACGGCAAGTTCTCAAAGGCCTTAAAGTTCGGTGGCCTACAGCTGAACCCAAATGTATATGCTTTGTAACGAACAAGAGTGGCATTGTATCAATTTGAACAATGCGGCTATCAATCATTCTCTGGAAAGGCTTTTTCGGAGCTGACATTTTATTTGGGCATTTTTTTTTCAGAGACGGGGGAAAACTTTATGCGAAAAATGTGGGAAACTGAATTGAACGTGAAATGTCACCTCCGTGTTGTGTACATGCACATAGATAAACGATTGGGGGATGATATTCCAAGTCCAAATAATTCATTAAATGTAGGGCTCCCGATGTCTTTTTTTCGTAGTACGATTTTATTCTTCGCTTATTTAAAAAATAAAACTGCATGGCCTACATTATTCTTGTAAATGTTACTCTAGAATATAATTATTTCGGAATACATTTTGAAATTAAGTTTGAAGTCAAAGGGCTGTTGATGATCTTATTCGTATTCCTTTTAAAATTAGGAAAAACTAAGCATAATTCGTATTAAAATTTCCCCTGAAATCTAAAAAAGAATTAACTGAGAGTTCAGAACTTAATGGGCTAGGGTGTTTGAAATCGTTTTACTTTAAAAATAAATCGAGAGAACAAGACATACTAAATCGTATTAAAATAACCCCTATTTATTTGATGTCTCTCTCTATCTGAGGCCGGGACAATATAAAAGGGATGACGATTAATTCTTCACACAGAGAAACTGTTTACTATGCAATGGCCTTCATAGTACCGGTTTCTCTGTATCTGGACATCGTTGACCAAGTTTGCAATACTTTGGCCCATGTCGACCGCAGCCTTCCTCTCAGTCCACTTGGCCATAGAAATGAAATGTGTGTTAGAGTCTGTGTATTTTCAGTCTTTCTCATGTCCATGGTGCCAGTTGCGCCCGATATCCAGAAACGGTGAAAACGGTATCGACATTAGATTCACCAAAATGACGACAACAAAAACAAAACGCTCACCTTTCTGGATTGAGAATTCAAACCAATTAAAACGCAAAAAAACCCCACGAGGCTTGAAAGTCACGGACTCTCTTACTGAATAAGGTTGGATTGTATTCTTTCTGTCGAGGCTGTGCAGGTCCGTCATCTGTATTTCCAACAACGACCAGCGCCGTAACTCAGGGGATGTGCGAGCGGATGGTGATCATGTGCCGCCTCCGATGCCGAAGCTACACTTGATGTGAACCTTGAATCACATCTTTCTTTATCATGTGTGGAGACTGACGCCTTTGACGTGTTAGATGAAGTGGGCGTACATTTTTGAAAGCTGAGAGTTTGCTGCTTTAATGGACAAGACATCGTGAAAGTTTAAGCCAGGCCTACCGTATACTATAGAGCTACACACATGGTATATCTTGCATTATCTTGATGTGCGCGCCATGATGCACGTATTGGTAAAGTGCCAATTGCGCTTTCGGCATACGTTACAACTTGGCAGCGTACACAAAGATGATTCCAAGACTCAGAATCTGATTTTAGTAGTTTATTTTGAAATCTGGTATACCAATTTTAATACTTATGATTTTTGCCGATGGGGAGGGGGCAGCTGCTCAACAGGGGGAGGGGGAAGGGGTCGGCCCCACCGCGCTCCCCCCTCCCTTAGCGATGAGCCTGAGCGGAAATCTCAAGTGGACTTAAAAATGTACTTTATTTGAAGTCTAAAAGGAGTTCATTGCGACTTTTGAGGCAATAATTCCAGCTCAACTGTTTTGGGTTTTGCAATTGACTGCAGTAAAAACCAAATAAAAAAGCAGTAAAAACAAACTATACGATCTTTTGGTAAAAACTAAGACCCAATCCGAAACGGGCGTTTTGTCAGTGGCCGGCTATAGGTTGAGTGTTCGGTTAGCCCGGCTGTCGTGGCTACCCGCCTGCCTTGTATACCCGAGTCGATCCGTAGCTCGTACTCGAACGCACCTTGTGTGTGCACCATGCATGCGCGTACGCCACACTCAAAACAAAATAGGCCTAGCGCTGCAGAGCCTCTGGGGGTCGCCTGCTACTGACACCTGAAGTAAACACAAACCTTTCTTGTTTTAAAAAATTCTCGCCAAAAGGTGGATGAAGACCGGTCTTATTCCGACAGTATGTCACAAAACAATTCAACAGACGTAAAGCGCCCCAGCAAAATAGTTCGGTATGTATGACTATGTCTATGAATACGGCTATTAACTCTGCCCAATATCCGGACAGTAGCTATTCTATGGAACTGTTGACGGCACTGTGCGCTTTCTTCTAATTCACGCAATCTTAAGAATGGGCGCGCATTCTTAAGATTGTGTGGGAGTATGACGTGCACAATTTATCATGAATTCTGCGCAATCTTTAACAAACGTTGCACGACATATATTTTAATAGGCCTAGGCTAGCCTAGCTCTACTGAGTGGAGCGTTGAATTACGGGTACCCCTCCATACAAACGCTCCACCGATTTGCCATACTTTGGTAGCACCATACACGGTCGTCATGACGGTATGCATTTTGTGCATGCCCTCGCGAGGACAAGGCCAAAAAAAACTGATAAAGAAAATACAAATGAGGAAGACAGTAACCCTGGATAGATCCACACATTCATGACATTCCATATGACCCCTCAAATTGTTTCAAACAACCGGTAATTTTGAAAAAAGAACAAAATAGTCTGAACTTACCGCTCACAATTAAATGTGTCTGCCGAGTTGCACAGTCTATTTCACTGACATGACTGATGCATAATTCATTGCGCGCGTGTGTGACGTCACTATTGAAGAAAAACAAGTCGCGCTTAATCAATGACTGTTTCATGTACTGATATGTGCCCCGCACCAAAAACCCACAGTCAGACGGCGCGGGGCACATATGACTACATAAAACAGCTATTGAGTAAGCGCAACTTGTTTTTCTTCAATAGTGACGTCACACACGCGCGCAATGAATTATGCATCAGTCATGTCAGTGAAATAGACTGTGCAACTCGGCAGACACATTAAATTGTGAGCGGTAAGTTCAGACTATTTTGTTCTTTTTTCAAAATTACCGGTTGTTTGAAACAATTTGAGGGGTCATATTGAATAACATGAATGTGTGGATCTATCCAGGGTTACTGTCTTCCTCATTTGTATTTTCTTTATCAGTTTTTTGGGCCTTGTCCTCGCGAGGGCATGCACAAAATGCATACCGTCATGACGACCGTGTATGGTGCTACCAAAGTATGGCAAATCGGTGGAGCGTTTGTATGGAGGGGTACCCGTAATTCAACGCTCCACTCAGTAGAGCTAAGGCTAGCCTAGGCCCCCCCCCCATGTTAAATTAAATGTAGGCTTTTAACATGTTTAAGGAAAAATAATTCATATAATGAGAAAAAACAGTCTATGCTTCTGTACTCGTTTAACTAAGATAATTTGAATTTAATTAAAGTTGTTATAGCCCCATTAATGTAGCCAATTTACTGGACTACCTCCGTAAATAAGCCCCACTTGGAACAGGTACCCGAAAATGTCAAGTTTTTATTTTCACATTTAGACTTTGTACTGCGATAGAAAAAGTAGTCCCGCCTTTTCAGACGTCTATATTTCGTATAATTTCCAGGTTCGTTTGCACAGTGCACACGTTAGCGTATGGGGCCGTATCGTAAGTCTTACGCCTCATAGCTCCGATGCCTAATAAATCCAACATTTTGGAATTATGAGGTGTCGGATTTATGAGGCATCGGACTTATGTGTTCCGCCTCATAGCTCCGACATCTCATAAGTCCGGCGTCAAACAAACGAGGCGTACGACTTATGGACCGAAATAGAAGTAAATTTAATAGTTATTAAATAATTTAATAATTATGGGGCGTCAGGGCTACGAGGCGTCAGAATTATCAAGCGTCGGACTTATGGGCTTTGTTTTGGTTGGGGGTAAGATTTTGTCAGACTTAACATGTATGAGGCGTCGGACAGATGAGGCGTCAGACTTATGAGCACACCTCCTGGAAGGAAATCTTTGGTCATTGAATTGAGAGTTTGCCTTATGCCAAGCAATGTCTGCTGCAATATTATTGGAAAAGCAACGTCATCATAAGGACCTCTTGTTGTCACACTTTTGAAAACATCATTTGACTGATTTCATAGTCACTACAGCAAATCCGTTCCCCACTGGAGAACTTACAAAGTTTGTCCTGATCTTCAGTGAGGTCTTTAAAAAAACTGTCCATTGTTTTGTAAAAGTGGGTCATCTTCAGGAAACCGCCATAAAGGAGCATTGATTGACTTGTCAATAAACCCTAGATATTACAGCCATTGAGATGTAACAATTACAGCAATTGAAAATTGGCACTTTGGTATCAGCATAGACCGCATTGAGTGAACCATTACTTAGTCTGTGATAGGATGCAAGAAAAGCAGAGATCTTTTCCTGCAGATGATAAACATACCCACCAAACCAGAAAATAATTGTTCAAACGGTTCCCATGGAAAGGAACAAAAATGTACCCAACTTATGTGCATTTTTCATAAAAGTGTCCCAGGATCGATGTCATCCACTTTTTCCCATCACCACTTCCGGTAAATGTCTTGCAAAAACATGTTTACTGGTAAATGGAGGCAGTGGAACTTCACTGCGATGAACCAAGGAGGTTCTTTGTGATCTTAAACAGTTTCCCTGGATCAGAACTGTTTTCCATGATGAGGTTGGAGCAGAAGTCCCGACGGGCGATTTTCATTAGGTAGTTGGACTTATAAGACATACATTGTACAGTGTGAGTCTCTCTCTTCAGTGTCTTAATGTCAATTGATTTTCTTTTCCTTTATGAAATGTGTTGTGTAGGGAGGACAGGTTTGACAGGTAGGTTTGAAAACAGGTGATTAAAGCATGGAGGATCATTGAGAACTTTAGGCCAAAAAAAAAATAGTTCTGCTTCCGATTACATGCCTTTCAAAAATAGGGTCGGTCGGTCGGAATTTTTTTTTTTTTGCCAATTATTTTATGCAGATTGAATGGGGTATTCAATTATATGCGAAGTTTTAGCCTGAACTATTTCTATTGCACTACGAAAGCTATACACGAAATGGCAACAAAAAGTGAGTAAAACCTACCTTTAATTATTGTCAATATATTTACGTTCGATAATTTCAAAAAAAATAATGGAAAATTCAGGCCGTTCGCACCATATGCACAACGCTAGTCAAGACGCGGGGAGCTGGCCAAAACTCCGAGGTGTGTGATGCGTGCGTGTGTGGCGAGCGGCCCACCATGGGCCGACAGACCTGTTTTTAGGGTCAACAATTTCGGGAAACACGCGGCATGTATCACTCCAAATACGAGTAGTGCGATCTCAAAATGAACTCTTGAACACAGAAAATACATACACAGACAAGCTAGATCAATTCTGTTAATTAACTTGCAAAAATGTTCTTTCTCCATCGGTGTTTTCTTGGCATTTTTACGATGTCGAATCCGACCAGCTGACAGTGGCCTGCACTGTACTGATAGCGCGCTATCGGTCAAATAGCTAGCTATGGACTGGTTACCGCATTTTCATTATGTCTTCTAAATTGGCCCCTAGCCCTGCGCGGCACGGCGGGAACCAGTCGTTGCCACGTGACTATAGTCACCGTGCGTGACATCGAATAGCGAAGTAGTTATATCGCGAAGGGAATTTGTAATAACGGAGGTTTCTTTTGAAAAAAAGCAAATGTAAGTAAGAAAACAAATAAATACAAGCATTTTTGGATGCAAAAGGGTTGTTGAGAGGTATTTTGTGAAGACAGAAAAGACAGATTTTATTTGTATTTATTAATTTTTTTTTTTTTTTTTTTTTTTTTTTTTAGAATTGCCAATAAAATTGTTAGGGTCGCAGCCTAAAAATAGGGTCGGTCGGGTAACCGGAAGCAGAACTATTCTTTTTTTTGGCCTTATCATTACGACGAGTAATAATAAGAACTAGCGTGTGTCCATGCTGGTGCGTTGGTTGATCGACGTGCTGTTGGTGACCCATGGATTCAAGCACTTCCATCAGACATAGGGAATCACGGTTGTCGGGCACACGACCATATTGAAGTCAGCAGTTATGCATATAAGTAAAGGTTCTGCTGATAGGATAACTGATTCCAAACAGTCACCAAATTCAGAGAAAAAGGTGCCAGTTGTAATGGGGTTATTTGTAGAGTATGAGGTGCTATAGACACAGTCTATGAAGCTTGTAACTGACAATCCACTCCGAGTAATCAAAGGAGTTCAGTTCAGAAGTAGCCACTTGGGTAACATTAAGCTATTTCTAAAGAGGAGGCCAGTACCACCGTCCAGTTTGGTTTTTGCGGGGATGATCCAGAAAAGTGAAACCAGCAGGAGTGATTTCAGCTTTTTAGTGGGCAGTGTCCATCTCAGTCAACCAAGTCTCAGTTAGACAATACAGGTCAGCTCCACTGCTGCATACGTAGTCAACAAATTCAACAGACCTACTTTTCACTGACCTAGTGCACAGTTTCAGAAAAGTGCACAGTTTCAGAAAAGCATCAGAGTTGTGTTCTTGTGGATTACATGTAGAGGAAGTGAGCAATGGTATCTGAGAGCACGTTTCGGTCTTTGAACATAATGACAGCAGTGATTAATTAGTACCGGAAGTTTGCATCTTCCACCTCTGTGACCTTGATAATGCAAGATATACCATTGATTTTGAGTAAATTAAATGTTTCTTGGTGAACAAATCCACCGAAGGGGGGGGCGAAGTTGTAAGAGTCGATGACGCGTAGTTTCAACGTGATTATCTGACCTAGGTGGTTCACAGGGGCCTGGGTTTTGAGAAATGTCTATAAAAACAGTCAGTGGGAAGATCATGCCCATAAATAGCAAGGCACGTACTTCCATGTTAGGACCACTTGCAAGTGATGATTTTGTTGAGGAGAATCCACTTTGCATGGGTGTGGCATGGGAGTTCCAAGTTCAATGTACATGTATGTAACCTGATGAGCATGAGGTTCTGTCCATGTTGGTGTGAACTTGAGAAAACTCCTAACCAATGAGACTTGAACTAATTCTACTACTTGCAGATACAAAGCACCAGAAGATGCAACTCCTGATGACCCTACAGCTGACTACATGAACCTGCTTGGAATGGTCTTCAGTATGCTGGGACTTATGATGAAGGTTGGTGCATCACACACATACACTCAGAAAACCTCAGTATCCACGTATACTTGAAACAAATTTTCTTTTGTTTTTGTTCTCATATGGAATATATTTTTGCAGAATGATGATAACATAAAAACTACATACACTTATTTTGAAGCTCTATACTGGAGAATTCTGTTTTAATGCTGTTTGTTTTTAGAAGATGACCAATAGTCAATGCCATTCATTCTCCATAATAATGTTGTAATTATGCTCAAGTTATGTCATAAGTTGATATTGTCAGTTAAATCATGTATTAATAATTGCAGTCTGTGATAAAAATGAAAGTATCATATCAATGTATCTCATAATTAAAACATTCACATACTTAATAACATTTTCTTTAAAATTATTTCGCATGACTCAATCTTTTGTTTTCTCATGATTTTTATGTTGCAAAGTCTTGCTTCAGTTTATTGGTTTGTTCGGTCATTTGTGGTATCAATCACCATTTCTACCTATTGGCCCCCCAACCATAACAATCATCATCCAGTCAAATGCCAACACCAGGGTTTATTGGAATCTGTTAGAGTGAGCACTGCACTGGTATATGCAAGGGCGTCAATTGCTCCTCAAAAGTGGGGGGGGGGGGGGGGGGAGACACACCTTGATCAGAACTAATGCGAGCACGAAGCCCTAACAACATGGGGTTCGGGGCCCGCTTAAGGGCCGCAAAACATTTTGGATTCTAGACACTCTGTGGTGCAATCTGAGGCAATTTCTGACCACTTAAACCATTTTCTTTTAGCAAAAGATAATCATTTAAATATCATCGAATCAGCTATTTTGAACTATAAAATCATATAGGCTATAGGCTACAATTTTTATTTGGGGACGAAAAAGTGGGGAGGGGGGCAAACAATGTGATATCCTCCCACTTTAAAAAGTGGAGGGGGGGGGGGGAACTTGTCCCCCCGTCCCCTACGGATTGACGCCCGTGGGTACATGTAAACTGATTATGCTTTCCAATGGGGTGAGGCATACCACCATAAACAGAGTCCAACAGTTTGGCTGTAGAGGTTACCATATGGTGTTGGACTGTTCAGGTGTGAGGGATGTTCCTAGTCAATCACTCATCAAGGGGTAAGGAATTATGCTCTTTAGATGGACACACGATGTTAGTAATTGTATTCTTCTTGTCTGTTCTCTCCTCAGATGAAATGGTGTGCATGGATTGCTGTTTTCTGTTCTTTCATTAGTTTCTCTAACACAAGATGCACAGAGGATGGCAAGCAGATGTTTAGTAGTTTTATGTAAGTTTCAGTCATTTAATCATGCATTTTACAGCACTGTGGGGATACCAATGCCTGGTTCGTTCATTGGGGTGAATCCTGCATTTCAGGGGAGAATTTCCCCGGCAGGTTCACCGTCAAGATTAAATCCCTTGGAGAACTTCTCCCTGGACTCGCCCACGGAGGGAGCAGGAGGCCCCATGGATAGTACTGATTCCATGTTACAGGTCACTGAACTCTGAGACAATTTTTCTAATCGCCTCACATTACGTTGTCCTTGGAGACATCTTGGGTTAAAAGTCACGTTTACAATGCTGCGAAGAAACTAAAGACGACACAAGAAGACTGAAGATACCTTCTACTTTATTCTGAACTACAAAAACTCTCAGATAAATGAAAGAAAGCAACGATATGTTACCAGAAAACTGCACAGCAAAAAATATAACGTCTGCCTTTGAATGCCGATTATCTGATTATGGATAGGTTATTGTGTGAACTCTTAGCAAATGAATTGCGCCGTCTAGGGAAATATGCATTAGTAGTGGCTCTACAGATAAGTAGGTTGCAGTTAACTGAATTTGTAGAAGAGTACGGACAGTACATTTTAAATATTCACAAAAAGACAGTTGGCTGTTTGATGAAGCTATGGAACCACAGACTTAAACCTACAAATATTCATGTCTTGATACTAGTGTCATGTTACAGCATTATTTCATTATCTTTCCCATCTTTCCTGTCACAGGTTGTCCATTTCAGCTGTTGTGATGTCATACCTGCAGAATCCTCAACCTATGACGTTACCATGGCAATAAGTAGATGCTTCAGTAGCTCCGCTTCATTAGTTTACCAAAAAAGGCATTTTACAGCATTTGTAATATAGAAATTCGCAGATGAAATAAAAATAAGAGAAATTGGGTTCTTGATACGTACAATCATCTACAAAATATCCGTTAGAGTGTGGTGAAGGAACTTGCACTTTAAAATCCTGGGCGGATCCATAACCAAATTGTCACGATTGTTGGGGGAAGGGGGGGGGGGGCTGGAGACTTGACCTCATTTGATGATAGGGGGCGCTCTTTTGCCCCTTTTAATTATTACAGGGAAGGGGATGAGAAGCATCGATTTGAAAAAACAGTCATCTCCACTCCTCTTCTAGTTTAATGACCCCCCCCCCCCAAAAAAAAACAAAATTGACACTTCGGTTTTGTAAGGGGGGGGGGGGGCATATATTGAACTTGTTGACCCTCCCCATCTGCCTTTGTGTAAAAAACAAATGTGTTGGAGGGGGGGGGGGGAGTCTCTCACAAGTGACAGCCGGGGCGTGCCCCCACCGCACCCCCTGGATCTTCCACTGAGTAACAGTAACAGTAGTAGTACCAAGCCCCTTCAAAGTTTTCAGATGCTTTTTACGCATTCTGCTTGGCTAAAGTTTAACATGAAATAAATAGTTTAAAATCTTAATAAAAAAAAAATAAAAATAAATTGCAAGTACCCCCTCTCCCCCCAAATAACTCCAATTCTACTAATCTGTGTTGCAATCGATCTGAGGATTGTGAATGCACTAAGTACTGCCGTTTCAGCATCTATAAGATGAATGGCATTTTTGAAAAGTACATTTACAGTTGCATTGCAATAACAAAAACAAAATTTACAAACAAAAACACATAAATAATAAAAAAGATTGTTTAATACCTGTTAACATTTAATTTGAAATGAGAACCATCAAATGATATCCAATTATTGTTTTTACTAGTGTGGTATTTGCATCTTGCTTTCACATCCTAGAAACGGTTATTGAATAAAATGTCATAATTTAATATAAATTTGGTCTGTGTTTATACTGGTTATTTATGGTAATTATAAGATAATGTGTTTTAAAATAAGAAGAAAGAAAAGCACAACAAAAATTTGGAATGCATCGTAGCCATTTCCAAAAATCAATCATAGATAATTGGAAAATGATCCACCTTTGGTCATCTTAAATGACTAGGCACCCCCTTTGTAATTCTTTCTGTCCTCATTGAAGTTAGTCCCAGTATTTTCTGCATGGGGAAGACTAACATACATGTAGGCTTGGCTCATGGAGTATCTGCACTAATCACCTGCTGACAACTATGTCCAGGTTCACGTCTGGGTCCATATGTCAAGGTCTTTGCCTTTGGTGGGTGTCCATGTTTCGCAAAAATCTGAAAAGAAACAAATGTTAATTTTGATTTTTTTTTTAATGGGGGGGGGGGGGGAGGGCGTATGTAAGAGAAGCTTGTGTTCACCTGAATGTGTTCACCTGAATGAGTCTTGAATGCTTGTGAAATGAATGCGTTGTAATACATGTTCAGATTTTAAATATGTTAAAATTCATAAGGATATAAGTCTGACAGAAAAAGGATAGTAAAGTAACAACCAGTGTACAATGGCCCCAATACTAAAGTGCTGAGGCATTTCTTGGGATTAGCTGATTTCCTTATTTTTTACTTCTCATGAATGCCATCACTAATTGAGAAACACTGTACAAAATCTTGTGGTGTTTGGAATTTCCTTTTTTTTCCTTCTAAATTTCCAGTTGTAATATGCCTGATGATTGCATTATGCTGAAGTTCAGCAGCTGATCAGGATAAAAGCCAACCAGTCTTTGATAACATTGAGAGTTGATGTAGACCATTTCGCTTTAGGAAAAGCATAAAAATGTGTTAGGGGCTGTTATGTTGTCTATACCTATAGTGGCTGTCGTAACATGAAGTAGGCTTTGCTGACACTCGCTACCTCTAGAACAATCTTTCCTTTCTGCCCATCTTGGAGTTTCATATCACCCATACGGATACCCAACATTCCAAAGTTGATGAATACTTGCCTCCGCAACCATGCATCTGTGCATTATGCAAATTCATCAGGATGTCCGATGTAGTAGCCAACGAAGGCTATTACAGCTAGCAGGACTGCTGCTCCCAAGAACTTGGCTGCTGTGAATAACAGTGAGCCTTCTTCCTTGGAATACTCTGGTTCGTCTTCTGTTCCTTGAATATCTGGTGTGGAAATACTGGAGTTGTCTTCCTCTGCCATACTTATTGGTGAGATGCGTCACTTGCCACGGAATTGGTGCTGCTGCCTTGTTCTTGAAGGATCCAGTTAATACCAATTTAATCTGTCACATGTAACTTACAGAATCCTGTTGAAAGTTCAGTATAATGAACACTTTTTGTATGTAGTACTATGCAGACAATTTACTCGGACTGATTCTCCACACGGATCCATATGCTGGGTTCTCAAAGTTCTCAAACTTTAGGAGCTGGCTCATGAATACTGAATCTACTCCAAATACGTCCATGTATAAGCAAATATAGTCAAGCTGCATTTATATCACATATATCACATGATCCCTCTTGTAAATGACTCCAAGATAAAACTATTTGTATGCTGGAAGGCTCATGTGGACTTTGGATTTTTGTCAACAAAGTGGTTGAGGGCGTATTTAACCAGTGCAGGTATCGTGTTATGCAAACAGGGGTATATTAGGAGGCAATGGGATAGGTGGGGCTAATTTGTCCATGGGGAGGGGCCTGTCAATAAAAAAATGCTGGGGGAGCGTGAAGGGAACATTTGTCTCCCCAAGCCTGTCATTTTCCATAACAAACATGACAAAATGCCACGAATGATGAATCACAGCTGCTTTTTGTGTACTTTCCTTGACTGCTTTTCTTGAAATGGACATGTCATTTTAATCTCATCATATTTTATTCCACGTGCAACGTATTCAGCAAAATAACAATATACACGTAGCACAATGATGTGAATAAAGATACTATTATATAAGTTATCTGTGTTCATTGAACATACATGTATATTTATTACATTTCAGGTTATAGATCACACACAGCTGCATTAAAATAAACATCACAGAATTTAAAAAAAGTATGGAAGGGCCTGATTTTGGAAGGTTCATCACAATATATATGCATAACCCTTGCACTCTTAACGTTTTTTAGGCAAGACTTCTATTCCAGAACACACATCTAGGGACAAGTCTTGCGTTTTGAGAATGAGCTGAAATTTTAAAATTTGCCCTGCTTGAAGAGGCAGGTCATCCATGAAAACTAATCACCTTCAAATGATGCATGCAAAACTTAATTCAAAGATGTAGTCTGTGCTGGTTAATGAATTCAATTTCTTTTCTACTTTAACTTTTCAACTTGTATGTTTTTATTTAAAAAATAGACACCCCCAAAAAATCTCCTTGTATTTCTAATTTGTGTTCCTGCAACCCTCTGAAAAGGCTTTGTTTGGTTTGTTGGGCTGTTTTTTTTTTTTTTTTTTAGGGGGGGGGGGGTTGCTTTTATGCACAAGCAGATCTGTCATGTAAGTAGACTGGTTCCAGGTCCCTATACTGTATTATCAATTCTGATAGGGGTTAAGAACCTGTGAGAGATGAATTATTATTGGGCAGCAAATAATTTGAAATAGCCAAGTCACCATTCAATAATATGGGCCAATTTTTCTGTTCAATGTCTCATTCAAAATTGAATAACTTTAGTACTGCCAGAAAAATATTGATTCAAAAATATACCCAGGTATTTTAAGGGGTGGAACTTAACAACAGCACAGATAGAACATCTGTAAAGACTTCTGAGATTTCCTTTTCACATAGAGGCAAAATGCAAGCATTATTTTTGTCTTGCAAGTTTGCAAGTAGACCAGGTAGTCTGTATATACAATGTAGTTGCCCAAGATTAGATTTAGCCCTAATATATGTAAAAAAAAAATACTGTTACACTTATTACTTGATGTCTCTATATAAGTGCAATTCCTGGCATTTTTCCGGCATATTTTAAGGTATTGGTATTGTTGAAAGATAACAAAAATCTTCAGTCACATGTTGAGAAATCCTTAGGTTTTTCAATATTCATTTTTTTTTTTCATTGCAGACTTTGACAATCTAATAGCATGAATACACACAATAATTAACAACTCCTTGCATAAAATATTTCAAACATCCTTCAGGTATGAGTCACACTGCAAGGCAATTCCTTTATGGATCATTTTGTGTGTGCATTTTGTTTGTTGCCAATAATAACAACACTCAAAATCCAAAGAAGAATGTCAGTCTCAAAAACTGTGAAAACCATGCAAAGCATTTTGATCACAAAACATGTTTTCATCCATAGCAGTCTGTATTTCCAAAAATCAATCAATTGACTGACCATTGAAAATCACAGACATTTCTTACATCTTGATTTCTGCTAAATGGCAGCAAGCCAGACGGAATAATTTTGTGGGGTGTTTAGTACCAAGTACGATCTGTAATCCAAGTACGCTCTTTGATAATAAATACTTTTGGATAAATGCAAATGATCCTATATGCCTTTAAAACTAAATGAACTTTTTATCAATGGTCAGGTAAATGCTTTGTAACTTTCAAATTAACTGCGAAATGTATTGGCCAAAGCCATCCAAAAGGGATCAAAGTGCACAAGAATTGAATATTTACACATCTGAAATTGTGATGTCTAATTTTTTTTGAGGGGGGGAGGGGTGTCAATCCCCATTGAATTAATTGGTTTTATCAATAGACTGCTATAATTTCATCAAAGTGCAATACAAACTGATATAACCACAAACAAATGTACATGTAGTTCACTTGTTCAAATAAGCGAAGCCATACATTTTGTTCAAAACTACAATAAATTCAGTCCAATTTATAAGATGCATATAATTATGCATCTCAACTCAAAAGAAAGTTAATTTGAAACACAAAATATCACCAACATACTTTAGAACCTTGATAACTTTTATCAATGCAAATGGGAAGAAGAAAAACTCTACTTTTTTTTTCAATTTTTTTGATAAGATGCAGGATTAGAAACTTGAAAGGAGAGAGACCCTCCTGTCTGATTGGCTGCGATCACGGCGAGCACGCAGAGATCCAGCTGATTCCCTCGTTATGGTAACGGTTTAAGACTCAGCCTTCATGGAGCCTGATCTACAGCCAGCTTTCATACATGGGTTTGTCTCATTTCGTTAGTTTCTCAGCCTGGTACTACTGGTTCTACAAAGTCATCAACTACTCACTTATCTAAAATAATTCAATCAGTACTGACCAAATAGTCTAAAATATACATTCTCTGACATCTATAAGTGAAGTCATCTTTAAAACCACACAAGCATTAAAATAAATTACTTTAATAACGGTAAAAATCACTTAATATTTGCACATACACGTACAGGCCAATTCCATTACCACAGTAAATACAGTCCTCAATTTATTGTGTGAAAAAATTGTTTTATTATTTAAAAGAAACATTACTGAATATCATCCAATCTGTGTTAACTGCTCAGGATCAAGTCCCAGTACTTGCAACCATTCCAGACTGGCATTCTAAAGTCATGCCGAAACTATTTATTCCTAAGGTTTGGAATTATATTCTTCATATGAAACTTGGGCAATTTGATGTAGAAGTATAGTTGCAAGATTGCTGCAGTCTAGTCATGGGACATTTATAATAGATTAAGTTTGCCGGTCTGAAAACAACATCTATTAGGGCCAAGTAGAGTTGCCCCTAATACTTCTGGCTTGGCATGGCTCTGGAATGCTAGTCTGAAACGGCTGTTACATTTCACCACAAACTGACAGTAGCACCATCGTACAAACCTTCTAAAAACAATACATAAGACATTACCTGGATTCAATTGAGTGTATGTGAAACCCCAGTGAACTGTGTCCATTGCTGGTAATCAGTAATCTGTATATCGATCATTAAAAACAATGAATACAAATGTTGTGTGCCATTCATCATTACATTTCATTCGACCTTTAAGCAACTTGAACTGCAAATCTGTATTGAACGGGAACAACTCTATCAGCTTTTTGGTAAACTGTGCAGTATATAGCCAAGGCTATATACAAAAAACCATTACTTGCTTTAACACAATAGTACAGTAACACGAGCCTTCCTTAGGGATCTTGGATTCTCAGGAAAAAATGCTCTACAGACCACTGAGAGACAAGATGCCACTCAAGGCAGTCAATATTTGTTTACAATGTTTCACACACCTGAGAGCCATACAAAATATTCTGGTAATGGCAATAAGCCGAGAATACTGCGGTGGTACCATGCTCGCCTGCAGGTTGTATGCTCAAATTGGTGCTCCCTCGGCTGAAAGGGGGTTTGCAACATGCCAAAGCGCATGTATGCTTGCACATGGCACCATCTCAGTAATGGCTTCTACTTGTAGCAACTGAAGTAGTGATGTCAAACTGAGTGAGGTATATGCTGGTCCAGCATCATGCACTGATTGCTATCACTGATGGAATGAGGGATGTAAGAGCAGAGACTGAATCCATTACATACACCACTGGTATGAGAACAGCTATAATCTGGACTGATGGAGGCAGGTAATCAGCATCTTATCTTGCAGCATTAGAGGTGCTCCAATCAACTCATTGAAGGGGATGATGACATTCTACACAAATCTATTCTGGTTGATCAAGTTCCTTTACTATGTCTTTCTCTATGTCCTGCACGATACAAGGAAAGAATGTAAAATAATAACACTGTTGGTATATATTACAATTCCAGTATCCTATCTTGGACTACATGTAGATACTGCCACATTTCAGAAGGGACATATTTTGGGAGCCAAATCTATGAGATTTTGCACTCGGATTGTGTATTAAAGCACCAAACATAGTGTTTTTAAGATAGCACTGTTTGAGGCTAGCACCATGGTGCTGCCTGCTGCACTGCAACAATTATTGACACTTGCAATGCATTCCAGATAACTAATTCATATGCCCTCCTAAGCTAATTCCCTTTCTTGTGTTGACACTATATTCTTGCACCACCTAAGGCTAACAAATAACTTTTGTACCGCTAGCATTCTTCACATGATATTATTCTCCTTGACAAAGAGGCTTATTATTTCTGTCACATTCGAATTTTTTTCCAACAGAGATTTTGTCAACTTCACATACTACTACTAGTCAACCACTTATAAACCTTTAACCCTAACCGAACCCAACCCATCAAAGTCCAACAGCAGGTGTTGTTGAAATCTGTTAGGATAGGTACAGTACCCCTGAACTGATGGTCTTTTACATTGGGTTTGGCATAGGCCTACCTCCAGAAACTAAGTCCAACAGTGTGTGTGTATGATTTCCCATGTGGGTGTTGGAATTTGCCTGGATGGGTATGGTTCCTAGTAAATTATGCTAGGGAGTTAGAGTTAAGGAGTACTTTTTAGAGAATGCACCCATTATTGGGCTAAAAAAAATGGTAACCATAAAGATAGTTGGAAAGATCGTTAAGAAGTAGCGTACAAGGTTTCACACAACTATACATTGCAAATTTGCTGTTTTTGTGTAATTACCACGAAAATGAATTTGGAGGTAGAAAAAGTTGGTCCTCAAAAATCGAGCCACAGAAGCACTTAGTTGTCGCTCCAGTCGAACAAATTTCTTTTCAAAATGTTCTTCAAAAGCCTGTGCACTAAGATTGCAATGTGTGTAAGTCTGAAACTAGCGTGGGACCTGATATCACATGGTTGATTGTCATATACATTTTATGTGGCGCCAGTCTTTTGTTGACAGCTTAGAAATTCTTGAAATACATTTACACATGTACATAGTACATAAGGCCACAAACTGCTGCCGCATCTGATGCAAATGCATTTGTTCATTTACAACATTTTCTACATAAACATGATAAATGTAGACACTTTGTGGATTTCACTTTGAAATGAAAGAATCTAAAAATGAAATTTTGACAAAACTATTACTTAAAAGTCCACCAGTAGGATACTTTGACCCATGAGAGGACACTTATCACAAGGAGCAGTATGCGAAGCATGAGTACCTTAGGAGCAGTTTGGGGACCGTATCTCTTCACTGGCTCTCCTTTCTTGTTGATTAAAAACTAGAAGAGAAAAGACAGCAATCAATCTCAAACATAAAGGTCAGCTGTTGTTAAAGTTTCTTAGGGGCAGAGCCAAAAAAACACAGACATGGAAAGGAGTTTCCACCCTAAGGGAAGAATGCCAAATTTAACAAGGAGTAACTTGAGGTTTTACCCTGAGGTACCCCACAAAACCCTGTTGAACCACGTAACGCCTCGAGGTAAACCTTGAGGTAACAACTGTTTCATTTTACATTATCCCCTTACAATCCTGAATCCTCCAATGATAACATGATTCTTCACACACCCAACATGCATACACATGTACATGTAGATGTTTAAAAATCTTAATCTTTTTGTATCCACATTTTTGCAGAAATAGGGGGACAAATTAAGGGGGAGGGTGGGAATAACAAGCAAAATAAAGGGACACATGGTTTCAGCACCCCTTCCAAGAGCAATATTAATTGCCATTTAGAGGAAGCATTTTTAACTCAAGTGAAAATCTTCCCATTTTAACAGGTACATGTACACCCATTTATTAGACAAGCCCTACATGTAGATGTATATGGCCCCATATTTCAAGTAAATGATTAATAGCAGGACCTAGCTGACTTCATTTGTCATCAGCTTTAATGGATCAAGTACATAGCAACAGAGCGATTATGTTTTTGTCAGTAGGCCCAGAGTCAAGTTTTATATGTTGGTGACCATACTTTCATTGCTGCATAAATTTGTGTTTATGACGAAAGCGATCTTTTCTCCTTTAAATGAACAGAATGCAATTCATTGCTGTTCTCATGACAGGCAGGTTGATTAATCCTCATTAACATGTCACAGCTACATGTAGTTGTTTTCACAGACATTGCTTTTATACAAGCTCACAGCATTACACAAACTTACACTTGTTTTGAAACTGTCTAATTGCATCAATCTGACTGCACCCTCAGATTGCGTGGTCTGATTAAGATTATACAAGAAAACCTGGAGAAAACATGACGGTTTACTGAAAATCTTAGAGGCTATAGTTTGAACCTTATGTTTAGAAAAACGAACAAACCAAGCGCTACATACCTTTGAAAAATTCCATTTAATTGCACTGCAACAAAAGGGGGAAAAAAATGATTACTTGCACATCGGGAACATTTCACCACAGGAAATCTTTACACTTTTGATTAAACACCTCATACGGAACTGAGGTTACATTTAATACAAGAAATTTGTATTGTTACAAGCAGAAATCTATGTCGATAAAAGGAAATGTTTGTGCCCCAATACAAAGCCATCTTGGGTTCCATTATAAATTCCTATATAGTGGTGTTCCCTAACGTAGCGCACTTCGATGTTTACCCCGACTTCCCTCATGCAGTGTGCCAAACTTCTTTGTTGACAAACTCCAAATTCATTCAGTTAAATAATGGTACTTTTACCTTATGAATGCATGCTATTTAACCTCTATGAAGAATTTTGGTGTCATAAAATTTAATCTGAAATTTAAAAATGCTTGCGTCAGGAAATTGGGCACAAAATCAGCTGAGTGTTCCCTAACGTGGCGCACTTGAATAAATCTCGGAAAATTCCAAATGAACAATTATTAAATGTTAATTTGAAACAGTTTCTGTAAAATTGATAAATTCTGATAAACCATTATTACCTCTATTTACATACTCAACAAGAAGTTTGTCAAAAAATTATTTTCTTATTTTTGGGGGACATTTTTCAAAAGTTCACTGTGCACTTCGAAATAAAATCGGAAAATCACGCCAAAAAAGTTTTTTCTTCTAACTTTGTAATGGGTAGATAAACTCACGTTCTGTGAAATTTCGGTTAAAAGTTTGGCTCTAGCTAGGTGCTACAGGCGAAAAATCGGAGTGCGCCACATTAGGGGCCGCGCCACGTTAGGGTACATCAACAATACTTAAGAGGTAAACATACTTGGTAAGTGTTCCGTGCTGCTTCTTCTTAAGGAATTTGTAGAGAGGAATGGCATTGTCACCGTTGACATTAATCTTATCAAACAAGTCAAACTGAGCTCCTTTCTTTGCTGCAAACTCCTTGATTTGTTCGTCAGTTCCTGGCTCCTGGAAAGGAAACAGTCACAAAAATCACATAAATAGTATTGACATGCACGAAATCGGAAAAACTTGCAAAGATTTCCCTTACCTATTTTTAAATGATTTTAATACCAATATGAAAATGATTTTGTAAGAGAAGCAGGTAAAAGTTGTAAAAACTGATAAAAAAAAAATCAACACCAGATGATTGCATACCTTGTATTCTTTATTCCTGCTATTAAACACTTCCACCAATTACTCAAATACATACATGTACACATGTCAGCTGTCATGTGTATGGAATCAAGTCTACTGGACATGCTAGGTATCATTCTACAGGGCCATAGAAATACACAATCGTGAGGAAAAAGTGGGCCTGTTCTAGAACCAAAGTCATGGCTATAACCATACCTGACCACCAAACTGGTTGCATGGGAAGGCCAGGATCCGCAAGCCCTTTGACTCAGCATACTTAGCGTGCAGTTCTTGTAGCTGAGCGTAGTTCTTGTTGGTTAGACCTCATTGAGAGGCCACATTGACAATCAGAGCCACATGACCCCTAAATGGAAAGGAAAAATTAACTTTCACTGATACAAAGTGATCTGATCTGAATTTTGTTAACATAATTTCAAACCTCCCAAATCGATCGTATAAAACAAACTGTTTTGCAGTACTTGATGGAGGCAGGACAGGATAGCCTATGGCATTTGATTTTTATGTACACTGCTGGATTTTGAGGCATCTAAAGCTTTAAACAGTTAAAGCAAAACCGCCCACAAAGTATTCAAACTACAGAAAAGTCAAACATTCAACAGAACATTAATTTTGACCTAAAAGTAAGCCTAAGATAAAGTTCATTGTATGCAGGGGAATCCAGGTTTAATTTGGTAAATGTACTTTAGTGGAAATTTCATGCTGCTGTTTGTTCCAGTTTGTCATGCTTGTGTGCGTTGCATATACATGTACATGTAACAGAGGCATAGAAAATTTATCTTAGCCAAGCGGTGAATACATATCACAGACCGTACATTGTATTTGATTGACCAAAAAGGCATTTGCCAATCATTTTAAGAAGTATGTTAAACTTCCTAAGATGTGACCAAGAACTAAGGTGCTCGTAATGCTTTGTCAATAAAACATGTTTGCAGGCATCCTCATGTACAAGGACCCATTTTTTAAAATGTGGGTTCTGGTCATGCTGGTCAAACATTTGAGAAAATTTGTGAACACACTTTGAATTTTTTGTTTCATTTAAACCTTCAATTATGTAAATATGTAAAAACAACTTTGAGGATATTGTTAGGAAAACTTGTTGAAAACATAATGTAAATAATAATCCAAGCCACCTTAATTGCACTTATGTCATACACAATATAATTACAAAAAAAGAAGCTTAAGTGAATCATCTCTTACTTGTATTTGGAGAGAGAAACTTCATTTCCATCAATGTCCTTCACCGTGAAGCCATATATATTTGTAGGCCCATTAGCCGCCTGTAATAAACAAAAAATAATGTTAAATAAAAGACAGATTTACGTACTGTACATGTACATGTTCCTGAATCACCACTACATTACACTCTAAAGCACAAAAAGGTGCATGTGTGTGTTTGGGTGTTCAAGAGCTGACTGTTCATGCGTTGATCTTCTGCGAAGATCTACCACAAAGATCAACTGCGAAGTGAATGACCTGCCTGATGTGCGAGATGAAGATTCAAAGATCTCCACCATACCAACTTGTGCTTCACATTTGTTCATTTACAACAAATGTACATACACATGTATAAAAAGGGCACCCAGTTTTAAATGTAAATTTAATATAAAAAAATGTACTGAATATTTCAGAAAGAGGCGACTAAAAAAAAAGGCCAGGATGTCCTCTATCCAATGATATTAAGGTCATTATGTCATTGTCATGGATGACTGAGCAAAATGGCCTTTTTTTAAAGGGGTCAAAATCAGCACACTGTGACAAGTGAGTGCAATGGAAAGCTCCACTTCGCCGTCTTGGGAAGATCAGCTTTATCCATGGTATCATACAGTCATTGATCATATCCAGATATGCCTACATGAGGCAGGCTTGGCATACCATAAATTCTAGTAACAGCAAAAGAATAACATCTGTCTGCCCTTTGCCACCCAGGTAAAAACTTGTCACAGTGCTGATTTTGACTTCTTTCATAGAGGCCTTGTTTGCTAATTCATCCATGACAATGATATAATGAACTTAATATCATTGGATAGAAGATATCCTGGCCTTTTTCTTTGTAGTTGACTCTTTCTGAAATATCCAGTACATTTCTGATAAATTACATTTAAAAATGGGTATACATGTACATCCTTTATTTTGAGACACCCTGTAGATATACATTTACTGTAGTTTATGCCATACAACGTACATGTACAATACATGCCAGTTATGTGTACGTGTATGTCTTGAAGCAAACTTCAATCCTCAATCCTGATTGGTCGATCCATGGCAACAACAATGTGGTATTGTCCCATAAACCACAGTCCGTATATCGCATTCTGCTTATCGCGCTATTCTAAGATGCATTCTCACGCCATTCCTGCTATGCGAACATGTAATAGGAAAACCCCTGAAGGGTTCACGTACAGCGTCCATGTTCAAGTTTACTGTTAGTTTGCTTAAAGATAATCTGTTGTCCCCCTTGCGCTTGTGGAACACGGAAAAATGTAGTGCTTCCAATTTCATGAGATAATTGTTTTTGTTCCTTTGAGAAATGTATGTACACAAAAATTGGACTACTTTTACAACCTCGGTAAAATCTGGACTTTTCCATTCACTCGACTTCGCCTCCTGAAATAGAAAAGTCCAGATTTTACCTTGCGATAATATTCCTCCCATTCCACTCTGAGCCACTCAATATTTGTATAACATTACACTGTCATGACTGTATGGTATGCGCACAAATACAAAGTTGCAAACAATACATATGAATATTTATGTGCAAAAAAAAATCTAAACACAAATCAATACACAATAAATACCAAACTGTTTTTACCATGATTTATGTGCGCTTGTGCTCTTCACTGCAACTTTTTTTAGACTGACCATGATGCAGCACTTATCATACAATATATAGTGGCAATATCAGTCTTCCATTGTTAATTATTACTCAAAACTGATAAGAATATTGAATGAGAACTTTGCATAAGTACAAAACAAACTGAGCCGAGATACATGCTCCCATTCTGGATAACTGAAACTTCTGCTTAAACAGAAAAGTTTGCACAGGTCTTCAAATTGTAGTTTTTTGAAATTTATATTTTCTGATTTTTAAGTTCTGTAAAATATAGGTTTCCCGGCTATTTTAAAACATTTATCATTTGAATTGGCCGTTCCAAATATTCGAATTTGTCCATCAACATCGATTTAGTGCACTTCCAATGTTGAATTTTGTGTTTTGTCAGACGATTTCAAATTCAGTTCAAGTAAATTCAAACAATGGGCACATGTTTTTGTCCCAGAGTATTCAATTTCTTCTCGTCTTCGCCAAACCTTCTTATTCAGAAATCAAATTAGTCTAATTGATTTATAAATATAAGACGAATTTGATCTCTGAATGCTGCCATTGGCAAGAGCCCAGACAAATTTGATGTGTAATGACAAATATTCTCGACCCGATGACTAAGGAGGGTGACCAAACGTTACAATTTAATAGTAAATGATTAAATTGGTTTTGTTTAAAGCGTGTGAAACTTTTCTCGGACGAACTTAAATGACAGAGTCGGTGAATTTGAATGAAAAATCTTTTAAAATAGCCGGGAAAACCTATATTGTAAATTGACCTTTCCTTCAAAAAGTACAAAATGAACTTGAAGTATGTTGTTCACAACTAACATGACTAAGCACATTAATGGTTAAACTGGCTATGTTGACAGCTGACTAGATGTGACATTTGAGTTACAAATGCAGGGTGTTCGGGCAGGCAAGTATTGTTGATGTACCCTAACGTGGTGTGGGCCCCCCAACGTGGCGCACTTTGATTTTTCGCCTGTAGCGCCTACATGTAGCTAGAGCAAAAGTTTTAACTGAAATTTCACAGAAAGTGACATTTCATCAAGTTCTTACTCCCGTTCATAAATCGCGAGTTTATTCACCCGTTACAAAGTTAGAAGAAAAACTTATTTTGGCGTGATTTTCCGATTTTATTTTCAAGTGCAAAGTGAACCCTTTGAAAATGCCCCGAAAAAATAATTTTCTGACAAACATATCGCTGGGTATGTAAGTAGAGATAATAATGATTTATCAGAATTTATCGAGTTAACAGAAATTCTTAAATGTTAATTTGGAATTTTCCGAGATTTATTTAAGTGCGCCACGTGTGCCCAATTTCCTGACGCCACCGTTTTTGAATTTCGGATTAAATTTTATGAAACCGAAATTGTTCACAGAGGTTAATAAGGTAAAAGTACCAGTATTTTACTGCATGAATTTGAGGTTTGTCAACAAATAGGTTTGGCAACACTACATCACGAGGAAAGTTGGGTAAGCTTCGAAGTGTGCCCCGTTAGGGAACACGACTATATTTCAATTGACAATGCTGAGTTAAGTTGTGAAAATGTTGATGTCAGAACAGAAAAAAGAATCATCCATATCAGAATTTTCCAATGGAACCATTTGTTTTAATTTGAAACCCTTGTAACTGAATAACCGGATATCAGTGTTTGTGTACAGTGGCGCACCCATCAAGGGGGGGGGGGGGGGGGTAAGTTTGGTAATTTTTTTTTAGTCCCACAATTTGACCTTGGTGATATGGATGTGGCCTATTTTCGAGTAGTACGATAGGGATGTAAGTGGCACCACCAATGTCAAAATAGTCCCCCCCCCAAAAAAAAAAAAAAAACCCACATTTTTTTCTGCGGCCAAATATATTTGGCAAAATTTGTTGAAAAATTTACTTTTAAAAAATTTGAAACAAAAAATTGTGAGCCCTCCCCCCCAAGCCAAATCCTGGGTGCACCACTGTTTGTGTAACAAACTAGTCATAAGACACTGATCAAATGATTGATTTCAATTAAAAATAACAAAGAAAACTGATTGATTTCAAATTCTCCGTACAGTAACCATAACTTCTGGTCTGAATTAACCTCGTTAAGTTGTTTGCGGTTGTCCAAAAAATTTCTAGGGGCCATTTGGTAAACATTTTGACGATTGGTTTTTAAATTTAAAACAAGTTCAACTGTCTTTGACGTGTCACCAGAGGGTGCCCTTCCGGGTGATGACCTCATCATGCCGTTTTGTGTTTGGCATCCCTCACTAAACGTTATGATAATTTGTTTGATTGCAATAAAATGGTTTGCTTCTCAAATTTTAAATTCTTTTAATTTTAATTGCACTTCCGGCATGTCCGGTAACAATGGAAGTAGAGGTCACTAGTTTTGTGCCTGGGAAAAAGAAATGTTGCCCAAAGCACCATCTACCACCTCACAAAAAACGAACATGTACTCTATATAGTCCAAAAGATAATACTTCATACTATTTTGTCACATTTTGACCATACAATGCTTATAATTTGATGTATGATGACATCATGATGATGTCATGAAAATGTCCACTTCTTCAGACTACATGTATGGTTCATGTCCATACCAGGTTTCATCCATTTCCCCTGACTTGTTTGGAAGAAACTAGTTTTTATTTTATTTGAGAATTCTGTTTGCATTTTATATTCACATAACTTTGACCTTCCAGTTATCCCTGAAGGAAAGGTCAAGCGACTTTGTCTTCTAAAAATCAAAAATGGGTATCAACGTCAAGGGCGGATCCAGAACACAATTTTTTGGGGGGCCAAAAAATTTTTTGGACCCCCCAAAAAGTGGGTCAAAAAAATTGCGGCGTGGGGTTCGGGGCCCGCTTAAGGGCCCCGAAAATTGTTTGGATTCTAGATGCTCTGTGATGCGATCTGAGGCAATTTCTGACCACTTTAACCAATGTTTTTTTGAGGAAAAGGTGGTGGTGTACTCATTGCCTGCCTTTATTGCGATGTCACATAAAAAAAAAAATTGGTCTCGTTTTGGGGGGGGGGGGGGGGGGGGCCATGGCCCCCTTTGGCCCCCCCCCCTGGATCCGCCCTTGATCAACGTATGGTCTATCAAATTACAAATATGAATGTTATTGTTCAAGAGTTATAAATGAATAAAGATGGTCATGTTTTGCACTAAAATCACTTGTAATTTGATATCTGATGATGTTATAATGACATCAGAGTAATATGCAGACCTCAGACTAGGTTCACGGTTGATCTTTGTTTATAAACTTTCATGTTTCATTTGTATACCATGTACTGTTTTGAAGAAACTCACGGAAATATGGTCCAGAAAAATAAAAAGAAACAAAGGAGGAAAAATTCTTACCATTTCAAACCGGTGACCAGGTGGTACCCAATCACCCCAAAAATGTAATGATGACAATCAATAATAATTATTATTATGTATTATGATTGGTTTGTTCTGGTATCAATAACTGC